AAACTCTCTCAAATCTTTTTAAATAACTTGTTTATATTCATGGGTTTTACTTACAAATGGCGAAAGAAACATTCATGATAACTTTAAATTTAATTTTAAAACCTTGAATCAAACAATTCTCAAATTTTTAATATCAAACCCTAAGAAATTCTAGAAGTTCAACACTACATCATATGAGCATGAAAATCAAAATTATAAATCGATTTAGAATTCCAAAATAATATTTTTCAAAAACGCCAAAGCTAATGTTAAGCAAAAACAAACAAATCAAACTTAAGGTTTTCAAATGAGAAGATGTGCATAAAACTAGGGGAAAACATCAATTTTGGTCCCTGGAAAGGAAATTTTTTTCTTGTAGTTTGCCGGATTTTCCACTTCAGTCCATATAGTTTCAATTCTAGCAATTTCAACCTTATAGTTTGATATCCCTGTAATTCAAGGACACGACCAAATTTCTGTCCAATTTTGTGACAGAATAAGTAAGTGTCGATGTGTTGGGGCATTTTGGACAAATTTGAAGAAATTTGATATAATTTGGGATGTGTCCTTGAATTGCGAAGATATCAAGGTGGAAAAATTGACAAATTACAAAGAACAAAATTGACTTTTTGCCTAAAACTAGATGGAAAAAAATATTACCTTAGTTGACGGATTGGACTAAGTGAAAACGGAACAAAATTACAAGGACAAACAATTCTAAAAGTAGAGAGACAATTTGTCCAATTTGACCTAATATGAATGGTGAAAATTGACAAAGTTTTGGTACAAGGACAAGTGTCATGAAGAGAGAGGGTGGTAGTTTAAGGCCTAGAGCATGCCATGTGAGGAGACCTCGGGTCTGGGTGTACCAACTATGTTAGGTAAAACAACGTCAGCTTATAATGGTTTGCTTGGCCAAGAGGAAACTACTCCGAGATCACTTTATTGCATATGAATTTTTTTTTTTAATATACAAGCGATATTGAAGAGAGGAAAAATGGAACAAAAAATCTTGGATACTCAAGTAAATATTATTAACAACTTGAACTACAAGTCCCTTGTTATTGTATATGAATTTTTTTTATATTAAAAAAATCAACCTTTTAAAACTCTAATCAATAACTGTTTTTTTATTTGTAAGGGCTAATTTGGCATTACTGTGCTTTAAAAAAAAAACTGATTATGCTGTGTTGCGAAAATAATCAGCTGTGAAAAAAAGCAGCTAGGCGTTTGGTAAACTGTATATGAAAAACTATTGTGAGTAGTCAAAGTGTTTGGTAAATTTTTATCAAAAGTGCTTTTAGTATGTATAATTACCGAAAAGGGCATGATGATGAAACTGTTTGTTTTTTTCTTCATTCTTTTTCTACTTTATAAAAAGAAAACAAACTTCACTACATAAATTTGTTTTCTTTTTTTAATTTACTCTTTTTTTTTTTATCAAAATTTGTAATCTACAATTAGCACACATATATTACCATAAATTATAAATTAATATTGTAACAAAAGTAGTTCTAAATATTGTTATATTAATAATAACAATGTGTTTTGAGGGCTTCAGAGACATAACAAATATACAAAAATTGTTCAATTTTAACATGCCCAAATAGATCACTACAATATAAAAGAAGCTAATTAGATGCATTTATAAAACTTGTAGCGATGCTATTTCTCAATGCTTCCATCTCTTGTGTTCCATTGTCATTAAGACTATGAAGTTCTTGTTGTACATCAACATCCTCATCTATCTCTTCACTTAAGATATCATTTGAAGCATCAAAATGTCTATCACGTTGGGCATGCCTCCTTATATAATTATGAAGTGTCATTGGAGCAATGACTATCCTCACTTGCCTGTTGAATGGATAATTAGGCATATCTCTTAAAATTTTTCATCTTTTCTTCCATACTCCAAAGGTTCTTTCAATAACGCTCATAAGAGAAGAATGAACATAAAGTCTTAGCCAATATTTCCAGCTTCTAAGGCAAGATGATATTGCATTCTCATAATTTATTGAGAACGCAATTTCATACCAGTTTAGAAATTTTTTATATTTCAACCATATGTCAGTTTATGAGTTCCCCACCACAATGACCAGCATGCTACAATCACTTTTGATAAAGCCCACCAACACAAAAAATATAAATAAAAGGAAGAACTTCAAACCATTACCCAATCCAAAATCTTCTAACACAATAATAAAGTCCACCGACACTAAAAATAATAATAAGGAAGAACTTGAAACTATGAACACTAAAAAATAAAAGCTTTGTTTACCAAAAATCTTCTAACACAATAATGGACGACAACTTAGATGGAACAGCAGTTTCACATAATAGGATTTTTATTTATTTATTTATTTATTTTTTCATTCTTGAGAAAAGAGAAGCCCCCAAATCTGGAGCTAATGGCTTCTTCACTCTTTTCTTGTCTTCTAACTAAAAGAGAACTAAAACTAAAGTCCAAAGGAATTATGTTTGAGCTTGAAGACAACAAGGTTAGGACAATGGAAAAATCAACACGGACCTGACTTGGGGACTTGGGTTGCAATCATATATATATATGATATATATATATATATATAATATAGATTTATGTATATAAAGAACCAGATTGGCCTAGCGGGTTTTGTTCTTGAGATTTTGGAACTGTACCAAACTATACAATGAGTAAATCTATGAACAATGATGGTTGTGTAATCTAGAGAAAAAAAGCATCTATGACAGACATGTTTTAGAGAAACAGAAACATAGAGAGAAGTATCTGACCCAAAGGCTAATTGAACCAAGCTAGGGAGAAATCTCTCCTTGCCAAAAAGCAAGGAGAGACAAACCCAGTACAAAACTAGGAGCAAAACTCTCTCTCTGTCTCTCCCATGTCTTCCCCCTAAAGCCCCAAATTTCATAGAAGCCAAACAAAAAACCTAATTTCATAACATATATAAACCCAAAAATCATAAATGTAATGGGAAGATGAACTCACTGATAAGTAGCTGATTGTTGTCGGCAATTAACGTCCTTGATTGAGATGGAGTTTTGAGATGCAAGGGGAGGAAGAAGAAGAACAGTGAGAAGAGCAGTCTGTGAGAGTGAAGGTTAGAGAGTGTGAAGGTCGCGAGATCTATTTTGTGAGAGGGTCAAACGTTGTTATTTTGTGAAATACTTAGGGGTATTATAGGGATTATGAAACTTTCATTAATGAGAAAACTGGCTCTTTTTTTAAGCAGCTTTTCAAAGCAACCTATGCCTGACTTTGATTTTTTGCTTTTTATGATGGGTGTTTTTAAAACAAGCATGTTTTTTTGGGTTTACCAAACACCCAACTCATGCCAAATTTTTATTAAAGCTGCTTTTTTAAAAAATTAAACACTGCCAAATGCCACCTAAGTACATCCAACTACATTCCAAAATTATTGTTTTTAAAACTCAAATTGAGTTAACTATAAAATTTTGTAAGTAAACTCAAGCAACTCAACCACACCACACTAACATAAGGGTTGATAAATTATGCAATAAGATCTTTGGCAATGCCAAAAGGATAAAACAGTAGATTTAAGAAACACGTCTAATATATATATATATTAGTATAAGTGATAGTCTGAACTATAAGAGCAGTTCCAGCAACAAAGGCTAGGGGGTGTTTAGGCCCAAAAATTGTTTCCAGCAGTAAGGGCTAGCCCTGACAGGAGATAGGGCCCATGAACCTAGGCTAGCCCTCAAGCAAGATCTGCCTTAGTTCCAGCTCGAGTTTGTTGACATTAGCGATGACGTCAGCAACAAAAAAAAATTTAAAAAAATCTACAAAAAATACAAAAAGTTTCAGATTTTTTTAAAAATAAATACTTAGTTGTAGTTTTCACTTCTCATACCAAAACTCTATACAAATTTTTTTCATCATATCTCATGTGAATAGTTGTTGCCATAACAATTGGTGAAAACACCACAACCTTTTGCAAAGGCAGCAACTATTGACGTGAATAGTGGCTGCCCTAGCCCTCCCCCTGCCATGACAAAGGGCATAGGGGTGGAGTTGCTCTAAGCGAGAGGGGTGCCCTTTTCTACTGGGTTCGAAATCGAAATTAAGGGGTATTTAAACAAGAAAAGAGAAAGGTGGGGTATCAATTATTAACTTGGGAGTTTCACTAAAACACCCAAAATGGGGGTTGAAATTATAAAAAAACTCAAGCATTATTTAAACATATAAACACACCCAAAACCCATCATTACACACACTCAAAACCCATTTATAAACACACCCAAAAAGTTGACTTCGAGGTTGATTTTGGGTGTGTTTCTATGTTTAAATAGTGCTTGGGTTTTTTTATAAATACATGTCTAGGATTGGGTTTATTTATAAATTTGTATATTAACTTCTGTTTCACGTCTTCTTTCTTCTCGTCTCGTCTCACCCTCGCTCCTTTTTCTGGTAAGTGTCCTTCTCCTCCTTTTTCTTCTTTCTTTTTGTTTTTATCATACACTCGATAAAGCTCCATCTCTGCTTCATCATTCAATCTGGCCCTAAACCCACCCCCCCCACCCCCCCCTCTCTCTCTCTCTCTCTCTCTCTCTCGCTGGCACTCATACACAAAACCTTAATCTCAGTCCTCACAGAAAGATAAACTGGCGCCTTTGCAGATCCAAGAAATCCCATAACAGGTAATCTTCTATTCTTTTTTTTTTTGTCCCATTTCTATTTCTCCTGATTGATTGATTGAATTTTTTTTTCTTTCAATTTTAGGCCTAATTGTTTAATGAATTGTATCTTTTGTAATTGATCCTGACGCATTCATGCAATTGGTACTTGCCTTTTGGGATTTTCTTGGTTTCTTATTTGGTCTATTCTATGTCATGTGGTGATGGGTTGTGAACAAACACATTTTTTCTGAGTCTTTTGATGCTGGGTATGTCTAATCTTAGCAGATCTTTCATCAGTGTGTGCGAATTTGTTCTTTTTTATGCATATAGAGATTTGGTTTTTTTGTGAGTTTTTCAAAGTAGCTTTCTTTTTGCAAGGAAATTAAATGGAGGAGGAGAATGAGTTCCGGAGTTGGGACGAGCTTATACCTGATGCCCTTGGGCTCATATTTAGGAAACTACCACTCCAAGAGAAGCTCACTGTAATCCCAAGGGTCTGCAAGTCATGGGGAAGAACAGTGGCCGGGCCTTACTGCTGGCAGGAGGTAGACATTATGGAATGGAGTAAATTTCGGACGCCTGAGACCATTACACGAATGCTTCAAATGCTGGTTTTAAGAAGCTCGGGTTCACTCCGCAAACTCTGCGTTGCTGGCCTTCCCAATGACCAGAGTTTTTCCTTTATTGCTGATCAGTAAGTGCAACAACATCACGTTATCATTACCTGCTTTCAGTTACCATTTTGTGATTAGCCACCTTTGTTTAATGTGGCAGTGATCATAAATGTTTATATTTGTAGGAGAAGAAAAAGAAAAGAATATATGGTTTTTAAATCATTGGTTGTATATAATTTGGGTTCATTTCAACTTTATTGCATCTGTTATTTCAAATTTCAAATACATTTCAAATATATATTACATTTTACTGTGATTATAGCTTCGCAAACTAATCTAGTCTTCCTGTCAAATCAATTTCCTTTCTTTTAAGCCATTCAATCCAAATGGACCCTTATAGATTTATTTATTCCGTGATGTGGCATACCTTGGTTTTCCCATCCAGTTTCACAGTATGCATACATGCATGGGTTGAGTGTGAGTGACTTGCACAATGTGCCACATATATAGGCTTGTGATGGAGCAGAAGGTTTTGCAAGATTTGGGGTATATTTAGCATTTTCCTTAACTATGTTTGAATAATATTGAATAGTCCACAACTTAGATGATTGCACAGCTTCTAAGGTGGACACATAATCAATCTCCTCATTTATATATAGGAGCTGATGCACCATTCATGTACTGTAAGAGAGAAGTAGTGTGTGATGTGTGTAAGAAGTGAGGTATAATGTTGTGAGTGTCCAACTGTGTGAGAAGGCTTTCTAAAAGTGCTTGAATTTTGATGTAATGTTGAGGTGTCCCCATGTATGTGTGCTAGTGTGTTTTTAGTGGTAATATCAATCCTTGTTTGTATGCATTTGTATTATGTATTGTTTGCACTTTGTTATATTCAAAGTTGTAGTTGACTTGGCCCATGGGTAATTACCCATCTTGCCCTAGATTGAGATTTATTAGCTGCAAAATCAAATTCAGAAATTTAATGGCAAAAAATCTTTTGAAACAGAAATGACTGGAAGCTGCAGTTATTAGAAAATGTGCTCTTGTCCATTGAAAAGCAAGATCTGATGATAATTCAATGTTCTAATGTAAATCTTGTTTTTGTGAAACCATGGAATATGATCATGCAGCTACAATAGGAAGATAGTTATCTGTGGGTTGAACCACAACATTAACTATTCCAAAATGCTATGCACTATATAAATACAAAGAGACCAAGCATGCATAACGCGGAACACCTCACAACCACACCAAGCCTCAAGAACGTCGCTTCTTTTATATGACACACCACTAGCTCATACATGAAACATTGGAGCACTAGCTTTTATAAATGAGGTTAGTTAGTAGCCAACCTTGAAAAGCTCAAGAGGTACAAGCTTCTAGATCAATAACAAATTTGTTTAAACAAAGATAAGGTCTCAAATTTTGTTGAGAACTAGAAAGTGTGTGCAGCTAACTATCTTATTCTTATTGATTAAAACAGATTAACTGTTGATTTGGTCATGCTGGTTATATTTTATTTTTCGGATACAATTTTTTTTTTTTCTCTAAGACAAAAAATTCTGTTTGCTAGTGCCAATTCTCTTCGGACATTGCGGCTGCCGAGAAGTGAAATAAGTGATTTGATAGTGGAACAGGTTGCTGCAAGGCTCTCTACCCTAACTTACTTGGATGTAAGCTACTGCAAAACTATTGGAGGTCCTGCACTTGAGGCAATTGGAAAGCACTGCAAACATCTCAGAAAGTTGCAGAGATGTATGTACGGATGGGAGGTACTTGACAAGGTCTCTCAAGATGACGAGGCCCTTGCAATAGCAGCCACAATGCCAAAACTCAATCACCTTGAGATACTCTACCTCCGTATTAGTACAGAAGCTGTGTGCCAGATACTCTTGAAGTGCCCTGAGCTCCAGTCATTAGATGTGCGAGGGTGCTATAGTGTAAAGCTTGATGAAAGGTTTGTCAAGAAATTCTCAGGACTGAAGGTGATTGGACCAGGTTCAGACAATGAGGGCTGGGATGAATGTTCAAACTACTCAGTTTCTTCTGGCTACTTAGCTTGGGACTTCGTTGCAAGTGTAATGGATGACGATTTTGACGAAGAGATGTTAGATGAAGCTTGGGAAGACGACCAAAGTATGGAGGATGTAGAAATGAGGTTCTATGATGGTTTTTATCTTGACAATGGTGGGTTCGACTGGCCCCTATCTCCTTGAATTCTCCTGCTGGAGTACGGTGGAGTTTCCAGTGGAGGTTAGAGGTGAAAAAAATACGTGGAACCCTGTGTAAGAAATGTTGTTTTTCCTAGTAATTAGCACTAATATTTCGGCGTGTGTGTTTCTGCATAAGTATAACCATGTTGTACTCTGTTGTTTGTATGTCAGTCCAAGTGAAACTTGTGAGGCTTTGTATCTATTTCTCATATAAATAAAAAGGCTTTGTTCATGGCGTTTTACAAGGATAACAGTTGATTGAGAGTAGTTGGGAGTTTAGGATTTCACAATAAGATGCAGTCACCCCATTGATCTAAAGGGCACTGAAAATCACTGGTTACCTGATTGAAGTTCAAATACTACCATGAATAAGCTGGGATGACTGTTTAAGCTGAAATGGTTATGCTACCAGAAAAACATCTCCATTTTTTTGGTCCTTATTTTTGGATAAAATACTATTCGTTGGCCTTTTCTTTTCAAAATTAGTGGTCTACCCTATAAGCCTCAATTCTTTTGAATTATTCAAACACAAGTGTAGTCACCAGATAACAGCTTGTATTTTTTTGTTCAAATATCAACTCAGAATAGCATGTGTTTTTTTCATATAAAGGAACCCAGAAAAACATGTATTGAGGCTTTAAGGCAGTATTATGTCAAGCATTTTTTTTCAAATATCTATAACTCAGAAAACCATGGGAGCAGAAGAAAATTTAGTTTGTGCGGGAGATTGCTGGTAGCAGAATCAAAGTAGGGGAGGAAACAGAAAAACAATGAAACGAGGAAGCAAATTTTTTATAACAAAACAGAGAAAATCCTGTTCCATTGACACTCAACCAAACCCCATCTGTTTAAATCCAAGGTTACAACTGCGTCTTCGAATCTAACAGACTGGATCGATAAAATTCCTCATCTAGTATTAGAGGTGGTATACTCCATGTTCCAAGAGGATGCGCAGACATATTCCCTCCTAAAAATTTCAAATTCCATAAACATCAGCAGAACCTGGGGCGAAAGAAAAGAGGATCCAGTTTCATATGCTGTAAAATTTGAGGGTGGCAAACTTACCTTCCTTAGTTGCTTCTACGCATCTTCTCTGGTAATTCAAGGACAGCTGAGGATCCAGCATTTTCAGTACATTGTTATACTTCTCTTCAGCTTCAGCTATGTATTTTGCCTGAAGCGGTAAAAATTGGTGGGTATTATTAGAGTTCATACATATTCCAAAATCCAATCACCCACTCACCCTGACATGAAAAAAAAAAAAAAAAAAAAAAAAAAAAAAAAAAAAAAAAAAAGGACAAAGGACTGAATAGGTAGGTTTTTTTTTTTTTTGAATTGATGAAATTCCACTGTTCTAGGAATTTAACATCATGACAGATAATACCAACAATATATATAAGTGGAAGCTATCATATTTCTTATATCTAACAACACATAAAGCTTGTATTTCATTGACAACACATAACATTGTCTCAAGGAACCACTGTATCAAACCGATGTATCGTTATCTCAGTCTACCAGAGTTGAAGCTTATAGATTTAAGGCTGCTGTTCCTTAACATATGGTTTATTTCTGTTTGCTCCAAATCACAAATTCCGTTAGTTACTACCTGCTACATTGGATGTCTCTGAGTAGAATGTGTAAAACATGCAAAACGTCCGTTCAAAAACAAAAGAAACTGCATTTCTTTTTAGTGCAGACTTGTACTAAGTAATTTGTACGCCGTGGACAACTAGGGACACCAATTTATCCTGAACTTCATACTTCAAATTAAGATAAAGTGAATTGCATTTAATGGAAAACCAAGAAGCGACTAGTGTCACAAGTGGTACTATAATTCAATCGCGAATATCAGCAAGCAAGCCTGGGCCTTATCCCTGCGTCCCCCATCTAAAGAAAACAGAAGCAAAAAAGAAAGAAAAGGGTTTTTTTCTTTCTAAAACGGTGCTTAAATGACATGCTTGGCATACTCACCAGCACAGTTGGGGCACACGCTCCATATGTTCTGACAAACATGCGCAATATATTGAAGTTATTTTCTATAACATCTTCCTGCATGGTGAGCCGATATTTTGGAATAAAGAATCGGAAAAATTAAAATGGGACGGGATTCAACAGTCATAAACTCTGCAAATTAAAGAGCTCACCTCATAGTCAAACCTAAAACATCATTGTGTCAACTCAAGGGCAAATGATACGGATGATGTGCTTGCAACAAAAATTAAGTGAAATAATAACATTAGTGTTCCCTAATAATAGATAAAGGTAGATGCAAAACAGTAGAGCACTTAGTATTCCTTGAGAGATGGAGAGCACATAGAAGCACATGTAGGCATGTTGTCATGTAAAATTTCAAGACGCCTCTCCCTCAGGCATATAGTAAATGCAAGATAACATACGGTCTAGTACAAGAAAATATTCCAGTCTACCAACATGGCAGTAACATATTGAAAGGATGTCAAACACTTACAACTATAAGGTGAAACACTAAAATCTCTATCATGTAATTAGAGCATTTGACTGAAAAAAATAAAAAATATAAAATAGAAAGAAAGAAGAGTACTCACAGATCATCAGCTACCTCAACTAGGAATTCTGAGATTGATAGAAACTCCATATGCAACTCATTAACCTTTATTACAGCTTCAAAGGTGAACACGATTAGCCAAATGAAATATACTTGTTAAAGACATGTGAAGCAAAAGATGAGCTACATCACACTTCATTTCAAATAGACAAAGAAAACATCAATTAAATACTTTTGCAACATTTCAGTAAGGCACAAGGAGTGCTGTAAGGGGATTTTATAATCCTTTTTTCTTTTTTTAGGCGATAGATTTTATATTAATACTATGAGAATAGCTATAACGTTCAAAATGGAACATCTAACACCATCATATCATATTGACAACATCCATTCTTCTATTTATCAGAAGACAAACCAAGTTCTATGATCTTACACCTTGACATGGACAGAAGCATCCATGCAACAATTTATATATATGGGGGTGGATCCTGGCACTCTATTTTTTACACAAGTTCTTGACCATTAGATTAACACGTTATAAATGGCTGAGATTAAATCTCACTACTATTTATTACTATCTTTTTAATAATACTTTTTGCCTAAAATTACTATTATTTTAATAGACTAATTAAATCTCACTAACAATTTAGATGTAATCAATGAAATTGATATACATAGACACATGCATGCATAAACATACATATGCACACACCCAAACAACAGATATGTACAAAGGAAAAATATTTATAAATCAGCATAGATTCAGTTCATTAAGAAACATGGATACAGATAAACAAGCTACTACTATACCTCTTCTCCTCTCAACTGGTACAGTAAAAGATTCAGCACTCGATAATCGAAGGACTTCTGATTAATTGCCTTTATAACATCTTCAACAGGGATCTGTGAAACCAAATTTTATCATTTTCTTATTAGAGAAGGCTTGAGCATGCCTATGCCTCACTGCTATATAATTCACCAGAATGGAAAGAAGAACTCTACAAAAGAGTTTCTGGAAGTAGATAATTCATAACTAGCATACCTTCAATACCTTAAAATTAGAAAGTAAAAATTAAGCAGAAAATTTAAATCTGTAGTTATATCAATTAAGTGGCTTTCGCAGTAGAAAGGAAAAAATGACAACAATATGAACGAGGTTGGGACTTGGAAAGGCTTGTGAGTCATGTGATGGACACTGAGGAACGCGAGTGGAGCTTAGGTTGCAGTGGATTTGATGGTCATCCTGGAGTCAAAGAAAGCGGGTAGAGTTTTATCATAGAGGTTGTGCTTGAACAGGCGGTGAACCTTCTGTTTGGTGACTGGGTTTTCATGAAGGTTTTGTGATACTGTCTGGAATCTTCAGATGGGACAGGTAGAGTCGGTATGGCAAGGTGACAGATTTTTTTCTACATGTTGATAATTTCTGAATCTATTTCTGATAAACATTTCTACAAACATGTTGAAACTAGTTATATTTGAAAAGTAACAACCCAAGATGATAACCATACCTCCGTTTTATTTATCAGTGCATAACAAAGCTTTCTTTCCAGCGCCCAATATCCTTCTCCAGACTTAAACTCATCTTGTATCCTAAACCCATAAACAGAAGTGAAATAAACACAAAAACTTCGGATTTCCTTTATTTTCCCCCAAGAATTAATATAATCAGAAAGCGATAGTACCTTTTTGTCAAAAGGCCATGACACTCAAGTAGACATGACAGTGGTCTGAATGGGTCACTTTTAAACACGTTTGTACACCTAGAAATTAGCCACTGACCTTCCTGCAGCCCAAAAGATATTGGTCACGTAAAAGTTAATACCCAAGTTCAAATAATTTTGTGTTTATTGCTCCCAAGTTCTTAGCAGTACCGCCTGGCTTCCTCTTTCTAACATGTTCATTTCGTCGCTTGGTGCATGCAATGTCTTCTCATTCAAACGATCAAGCTGTAACAACGAGAACCATGATTTCTAAGAGAATGAGACAAAAGGGAAGAAATAACATAGATGCTCACCAATCAGAGATCAATTGGTGACAACTCTGCTCATCATACCATTGCACTCTCAATCAACCAAAATTTGCGATTCCTTAAAAGATAATTTCACTGCTTACTGCATAGTCCCACTTTTTTGTTTCAAAATTTTACTAACAAGTACGAGCAGGAAGAGATGCAGGCTCACAAAGCTTTGTTCATTTTTCCAAAAAAATAAAAAGGTAGTGTCTGATTCCTTGTGGAACTGCATAGAAATAGTTTCCCAAGGGCGTCCCACAAGTTCAATAACTGTTCTGGGAGCTGCATTTTCTCCTTTCGCAAAAAAGAGAGAACTGAACTTGATGTCATTTGGGTAGATCATTACCTGATAAATGTAGCTTTCTGTGAATGAAAGCACAGGTAGATATTGGAATACTGATTGTGGTTTGTTTATATCCATCCCATGAAACATAAAATAAGATCTGCACTGAAAAAATGAGTTCACAATTATTCCATAACCTGATTATACTACTTTATAGTTGAAACACATTCACAATGCATTTTTGCCAGCGGGCATACAACTGTATTTGTTTCAGCCATAGCATGCAAATTTTGAAACACAAAAATTAGCAAGAAATAATGTTGAATTGAGGGTTAAGTGGTTTAGCTAAATTTTGTGACCTGCACATGTAAAAACTATTTAATTGGAAGAACTGAAGTTTCTTTCGACCAGTGTAACAACCACTGCAAGCATTTTGAACATCAATATAACAACATTGTTATAGTAAAATACGCTCATCAACTACTGGATGAACGTAAGAAATTTCGTCATACTGTTCTTGAGGCATTGAATGCAAAGGACAACATAAGTAAAATATATTAAGATTGAGGCAGTTGACATCCTTGAGGATTGTATCAATCAACTATTTCCCACAGAACTTCATACAAAAGGTCCTACTCAGAGAATACTATACTGTTCTTATAAAAAAAAGGGTTACCTGAGGTTGTTAGATTACTTTACTTTCAGAAACTGAAAACTATAATAAGAGAATTGTTTCAATACTATCATATGTAGCATTCCCCATCGGCAACCAAAATGCCCTAGTAAATTTGATAAGAAAAGTGAAATTTTAATATAATTCAAATCCGTAAGCTTTCCATGTTAGCTTTACTACTAAATCTGAAACTAGTCATTCACTTACGTGTACTATGCACTGATGAATATTCAACTATTAAATAATGCACATTATTATATATAGAATCAATCTTCAGGAACAAAGCCTGCTTACAAAATCTTCAAGGGTAGAATTTGCTCGTTGCATTGCGTCCAGTCCACCATAGCCATTTCTTCAGAATTATTGTCCAATGAGCTAGACTCAGGCTTATGGCTACAGGCAAGCTGCAAAGCATTTTCAACAGACTTTTCTTCATAGCCTGTAAAAAAAGCATAAGTCAAAGCTATAAAAATATGTAAAACTATTTGTATCGGTTTATTTAAAGAAAATCTACACCAAAATCAAGTAAAAGGGGTGATGTCCTCGTTAACAGGATATATACAGAAGCCCAAACAAAGTGAGACAAATCAGCTCGTAGAGAATGAACAATGAGCATCAAGAAGAAAACAGAAACATGGTAAGAAGACATAACCTAGGAGGAGTGAAAATCAAGAATATAAAGATCTCACATAAGATCGCAATTCTTATGCTAAACTGCTAGCACTCAACCCTCATAAGAATGCAACACAAGCACAAAGGTTATCCTCTGCATGCAATTCAATGCTTTCCGTTCCCAACTACACCTTCTCCAGAAACATAAATGTAGTAGGAAGTGTAAACATCAGCACCAAGTAGTATGCACACCTACTGAACCCAACCAAATAAACTGCTTCAATAAATAATACGATCCTTTGAATTTGAGGAAGCTAAAGGCAACCATTCAAAGTATAGCACTTGTATCTATCAAGAAAATGGAAAAAGGAAGGAATCTATTTGCATCTGTGTATAATGTTCTACACAATTGCTTTATTCCATGACAAGTCAAGCCAGGAAGTGTGGCATCACATCAACATATTCACGGGGTGGGTATGATATCAGTTGTAATATGTGCAGCATCATAGATTAAAAACTAAATAAATCCTGTTAATATAGCCTACAAAATATCTTTAAATGTAGATTTTACTCTCTGTATGTGCATATGGCGCGCAAATGGAAATCAGTTGAGTCTCAAATGCACGTCTGGGAGAAGTACAAAAAACATATTTTTATTTTCTATTTTGGTTTACCTTCTCCATTAAGCCATTTGGATGCTTCATCAAGAAATGCTGCAGAAATCTGTGAAACAAGTGACATAAGCACACACCCATTTCTATTGACATTGAATTGAACAAAATCAGATAATCAGCTAATGATATAATGCTCACCTTTGGCATATATTCAGAAACCAAACTGCACTTTTTGCCCAAGTCAAGTTCTCCACATGGTTGTACCTTTGGCATAGCATTTCCAAAGTTCAGAAAGAAAAAAAAACAAAACAAAACCAAAAAAAAAGATAAAAACAAAAAACAAAAAACAAAAAACAAAACATAATAAACAAAGCAGTTTGCATCAAAAAAATTCTGGTTGTTTCTACAAATTAAAATTAGAAGAAAATCTAGAACCAAATTTTTAGAAGAAAATTACTCTCTTGACAGTAAGACTGCAATTATAATGTTTAGTTGTAGATTACCAGGAGGAGGATGAGCTTAGTAAGAAAGCAACTACAGTCGTCAGGGGACGACGTCGTTGGAATGCCTCGAGATTGTACGAACGTCAGCATTCTCTGTACCTCTTCCAGCTTCCTCAACTCTTCCATCTCCTTCTCACTCTGCGCTTCCACTCTCGGCAGCGGACCATCGGTTTGTTTTTATATTTTATTTTATTTTTTAATGGAGGATAAAATTGGCATTACCAGATTTTAAAATTTTGAAAATAACAACAAACAAAAAAACTTAAAAGAATGCTTTGAAAAATTGGAGGTGACTATGCTGGAGATGGCCTAAGTTTCAAAATTTTCCGCGTACTCTCAAAATTTCGAGCTCTCTAAATCAGAATATATGTTGAAATTTTTATAACGGAATTTGAATATAATTTTTATGCTAAATTTTCTTTTCATTGGAGGTTTCATTCAAATATCATATGTACAAAAAATTACTTGAATTTGATATAATTTGACAACTCGATTGAATTATTGAAATTTTTGTACTTGCTTGAAGCACCATGTTCATTGATTTTGTAGGACACAATTAGATATTGAAACGATTTTCGATTTTTGTAATTTTTTTGTAAGGATTATCTATGAATGTAGACTTAAAAATAAATTGTTTGAATCATTAAAAAAAAAAATCGTAGATGACCTTAAAAGGTGTCCCTCAATAAAAAAGAACTCTATATATGTATGCGGTTGCAGAGCCGGTGTAGCCGAAATAAGCCCCTTTTGACAGTGAGCCACCATGATTGATGTTTCTTTAGTGCATGGAAGAAGAAGATTTCTATCTTACTAAAGCCATGACCAAGGTAGTATTATTGAATAAAGACATGAAAGAACTTACAGATGAGAGATACAAAACATATAAATATTATAGGGTTATTGCATGCATTTTTTTTCTAATGAAATGACCGGGTATCCTCTAGAAAGTGATATGGTTTATAGGAAATTAGGAATGATAGCGTTTTCTGTAGCTGTAGAGTTATAAATAGAAAAGTTTTAAGATTTCTTCAACTATTCTCCTACTAGATATTGTAAAGTTCACCTACTCTTATAAGAGGGCTGATGATTATTTGTGGATCATAATAATTCAAGTCAAAATTAGATTTGTTAAAACTGACTTAGTTTCGATCCAAACCCATTCGTGGGAGTTAGGTAAACTTACACCCACAAGAGGCAAAGTTTGAGGGAATCACTTCTCTGTTCTTAATACCAGCATCAAGGTCAGTTACATAAGACCAAGATGATACTGGAAATCATCAATATATAAATAGCGACAAGAAATCAGATGCGCACATAACTAAGAATTACAAAACACGAATGAGTAGAAATTCCACTCCTACCTTATTAGTACAATTGTACTGCTCAAATGGTTGCATTTCTGTTTTACAATTATTCTTTCTTTGTTGTTTATCCTTTACCACCCAGCGCTGCATATATCCAAAAAGCATGTGAAACTTTTCCCTTGGCTGAAGGCCCGTGATGCCCCCACGATTCAGCTGCATTGATAATCAGCAGCAGAACCCGTCTGAGAGGAAATCCACATATTTGACTCGTGGCCAACAACGTTGGAAAAATGGTTTCATTAGGATTAGTAGCTCCCAAATACTTGGTTGTCTGCATTGCTTCCGTCCAAATACTATATTTGGTGGGCTTCCTTCTGTTTTGAATCCTCCTCACTTGAATCACGTATTATAGTGGTACTTTGTTCTTGATCGCGTACCTGTCTACTTTCCCGAAGCTTCCCAGAAGTTGCAATCGCAAGAATCAGCTCAAGTTGTTTTTGCTGCTGCTCCTGCACATGACAACAGGTGCAACATATTCTAATCAAAATTATGACACAAGAAATGGATCTCAAGTTAACAATAATTTGTGAAAATCAAGATGACATAAAGATTTGAAAAGCAAATAGAGAACAATCACAAGCAGATAGAGACATCAAATATTCTGAAAGTCCATTAATCTTGGCATTGTAGCTCATAGAAAGGATAATAACCAAACTAATTAAGAATAATTCACAAGAATACAGTCACAAACGGATATAGATATAAAATATTATGGGAATCCATTAGCCTTGGCATCGTAGCTTGTATACGGGATAATGACCACATTAATCAACAAAATGGGAGAACTCCATAGAAGGCAATATTATTCTAAAAAAGAAACAATTAATTCTCAAATTACATACTGAGAAACCTAGCAATTCTTCATTCTGTAGAAGGCAATATTATTCTAAAAAAGAAACAATTAATTCTCAAATTTACACACTGAGAAACCTATCAATTCTTCATTCTGTTTAGCTGTCACCTGGGAGTGGAGAACCCTTACCTGCATAGCCAACAAAACCTTTTGAATTTCTCCAAGCTCCTTTTCCAGATTGTCTTCTTGCACTGCTAATGCTCGAGTGGCCTCAGAATTTTTTTGAGCCAAAGCTGCAGTCTTCAGAAACAAACAACTAGTTAGACGTTGTACCAGATAATCATCTTGCAATATCAGCCGATATAAATTTATTGTATTGATACTTTAAGCCCAAAACATTACAGTCTTTCTGCATTCAACATAGTAAATTAACCCATTTCTTCAGGGTCAGAAAAAAAAATCCTAGGGTCCTAACCATTTCAACCTGTCATAGTGTAAGAGCATTGAGATTCCTTTCACCAACTTTACCCACATTGCTTAACATGCACACCATCACCCACACTAAATTGCATCTGCCAGTAGGTGATGTCCTCTTTAAGCATATCTTAATCATCTGCAAGGGTCTGCTATTAGACAACTTATTTAAGGAGCTACTGGAGATTCTACAATACCAATTTCCAAGAAGATCACTGGGTTCTACACTCTTGAGTGACTCTTTGTTTGCATGGATATGAACTTTGACATTTCACAATGATTAGTGATTGTGTAGGGAAAGAAGAAAATGCATCTTTCCTTTTTCGGCTGGAGAGAGCATGGTTGATAGCCTGAAATGGGCTTTGGTCACCAGGCAAAGATAATGGTGATTACTAAGTAGGTTACATTTGAGCCTGTACTACTCACCACAGAAGCAGACTCTGAATAGATGGTATTCACTAACTGGAACCAAAAAGCAGATTAGCCTATAAAATGAAAACCACCCAAAGGCAATTCTCTGCCAGTACTGCTCTTTTATCACACTTTCTGCTCATTTCCATTCAAATCCTGTTCAAGTACCTTAATTGAATGCACATGTCAAGCATCCATTAGATCTCTTCAATTATTCTTTATGGAGTGCAACATTGAAAAGGATCTTAGCATATTCAACATTTGAGCCAGCCAATCAACCATGACTGAGAGATATACCAAATGCCATACGTTCAAATAGATATTTAGCTGCTTGCTTTTTTTATTTCTTTGGTGGACCGTTAGGAGAGGGAATTTGAATGTAGGAGCTCTTTTTAGTAGAGAGGTGCTTCATGAGATAGCTTGACATGTTTACAAGTTAGCACATGAGATTCTCCCCTTCTTCAACACTCTATTCTCAATTTCACCCACTTATATCATTCAGCATTAGGTTTTACTCAATCTCTATTTCCATCTGGAAAAGTATCATATTAAGAGGGAACTAGAATTTAAAAGCTTTAAACTGCACCAAGAAATATATATAGTGTGATTGAAATCATAGCCATGCATATGGCCAATATTATCACTCAATGTATGCTTATTGCAACATGGCAATACTGGACTGATGCAAGTTAGAATTAAAGACTGCACACTTATCTTTAGCATATTACTGATGGCACTCAGGCTCTAGCCTAAGCAAACAGGTGGATGATGAGTTACCACAAGCGACTTTAAAATTTTAACTTAACTCTTAACCACTTAATCAATTAACATGTTGAAAATTGTTGGACTAAATAAATCCAACTATGCATGGTTATGCAAAAGACAGAATTTGAATACCAGTCAAACAATCAATCCAACTAAGTTACACTAGCACAAGGTTGTAACTATGTAGTTCCATGTGCAAATGCTTCTCGTTTTTCCTATTCAGTATCCCATTTCAAATGATGAATTAATATTCTTCTGAAAATGTTTAAGCAGCTCCATTGCTGACCGGTGTATCGAACATTTTTGGATGGGGAACTTAATCCAAATTGGGAATAGGCAGATGAGATATCCCAAAATTAAAAAACACAGCATGAAATTTCCACAAACTGGCAAAACAACGAATTGAGTTATTCAGAAACCACCAACAAACCATCAATCAAATAGTCACCACCCTAATCATATGATGTGTGATACACACTGTCATATGATATATCCCTTCAGAGGTCACGCTGCCAGTGGAACTTAAAAAGGAATGGATGTCCTCAAACGATAAACTATTAGGGGTGGCAGTTAAGTTGTGCTAGTCCAATGAAACTTATTTATGTTTAATTCATCATGTAAAATCACTTGACACTAACCCAATCTGTATATTAATTGTGTCATGTTTGTGTTAATACACATATCTATTGAACTAGAAACTCAAAATATAAGCTCTAATTTTAAACCAAACTCATCACTTGTACACATCCATAAATAAAAACCTACTCAATCTAGATGCTAACAAAGGAAGGACAAAAGAAGTATAACTGTATAATTCTACAATTATTTCAAAAAATACAAGATAATGAAGTGAAGAAAAGGGTGAAATGCATTTTCTACATAGAAGACTAGTTAAACACAGTTATCGCGTCAAACTCAGGCTATTCATACTTAGCTCGCATCATTATTGTCTTCGTACTGAGCAATAGTCAATCCTAACCCACTGATTTCGTGTTGGATTCACATCGTGTTGTGCTCAAACACTATTTTCAATTTCTAAAAGAATTTAATTTTATTCCAATACTGCATTTCCGTGGCCTAATGTTCTTTACTTTCCAATTAAAAAGGCCAATGCTCAAAAACCAGTCCAAGTATTTGCCTCTTCATATCATAAGGTAGTTCTTTGAAAAATCATGTGCACTACAACAAACAGAAAACCACCATAGCAAACTTATCAATTACCGGAAAAAGAATGTTACCTCAGCAATGGGCTCCTTCAAAGCCTTGCGGGTAACCCGAAACCTTATCCCCAACTTTTCAAGCTGCCTCGACAAAACCCGAATGATTGTGGCCGAGCTCCTCAAATCTTCCTCCAGCTTCTCAATTCTCTCAAACAAATTCACCTCCAGCCCACCCTTCACTGACTCCCTACATATCCGCCTCCACTGCCGCATCCGAATCCACGCCCCAATTCCGACCGCCATTACCAAAGCCACAGCCCCAGACGCCAAAACGTTGTTCCCCATTGCTACTAAAGCCGTCTTCTTTAAGCTCAAAACAGCGCAATTCAATGCAAAACCTACCGAAACGAGTGCCGACGATGCAAGGCACAAGAACTCGGCAACCGAAAGAAAATAGTCCAAATTGAAAGCACCGTTGACGACGTCGTTTGACTGTAGAGTGCCATCGGATTCGTATACTCTGATACGAGAGTGATGGGAGCTGAGGGAGGTTGAATTATGAGGGTTTGGAAGGCTGTGGTTTGAGATTGAGAAATGTGGGCGAGAGGTGATTGGGAGAGAGAGAAGGGCGGGGTTTTTGGGAAGAGAGGTGGTGATGTAAAGGGTGAAACGAGGAGGTGAATTTATGAATAGCCGATGACAAGTGAATGACATTGTTTGAAGGATGAAGCGTGTGTGGGTCTCTGTGTTTGGTTGGGTTCAGTTAGGGTTTTGGTTTTGGTCCATTTGATGGTTTCAGAGAAGAGAGAGGAGAGAGATGGGGACAAAGGATTGGCGATGGATTCGATAATTGGCGCTCGGGGAGTGTGTGATCAGCAAACACGAAAATGGTTTTGGACTCTACGCTTATTTTCTATTTGTAACAAAATATCGGCAAGAAGTTATAGTCTGTCGGATTTACTATTTTGATCCTAGTTTTAATTTTGTTAATTTTATTTTTTTAGTTTTAAATTTGAGTAATTCAACAATACGTTATAAATTTTGTCAAATTTCTTCCAATTTGGTTACAAATTCTGTCAAATTTCGTACTCAAAATATAACATGAATCAAATTGTAACGTATCCTTGAATTGCTCAATTTTTAAAACTACATGGATAAAATTAAAACTACAAGAATCAAATTGACAAAATTAATACTACGAGGACCAAAGTGATATAACCAAGTACAAGAACTAAAAGTGACTTTACACGTAAAACATCAACTCAATCAACAGCATTTGTGGAGGATGCGATCTAATTGGGTTTGAGTTAGATCTTGAATTGCATATCAATTTAATGTAACATTACAGTAGGTTTGGTTGAGTCCTCGAATTAGTATAATAACATAATTGAACCTCTCTTCTTCTTTTTTTGCTATATATGGGAAGGAGTTCATCGATAGCCGTTTAATCACAAAGATTTGCAGTACAATAAACTCCTTAAAACATGAGGGTTCCAGCCAAACTCAACACACATAGGAAGCACAAAGTTTAAAAAAACAGTGAGCCAAAGAAACGCAATAGATGCAGCTCACTAGAAGCCCAAACAAGGAGAAATGCGTAATTTAAATAAGGATTATCAGTGCCAAAGCAGAACCCATCAATCAGACAAGGCACCTCCAGCTTGAGAGGGAGATAGTATCACTAAGAGAACAAGCATGGCCATCAGGGGTCGTTTGGTATGGTGGACTGTCATGAACTAGACTAAATCTTAAGATTGTCTCGGATTAGCTTGAATTGGCCTAAACAGGATTAAGTACTGACCTACATTTGGTGCTGCATCGAACTACAAGGCTGAATTGTAAAAATAGTGAAGACCTATGTTTGGTGTTGTGTTGGACTAAATAATAATAATTTTTAAATAATTAAATGTAAGTTTTTTTGTTATTAGAATTACCAAATTGACATGTACATTTCTTTTCCTCCAAACCAAATTGACATGTACATTTCATATATACAAAAGTTAGAAATTCTTCATATATGCCAAAGTCATCCACATGACTCAGAAATTAGAGGTTCACACACACAATTCTACCACTAATACATACAAATAAACATCCACAATTTCAAAATGAAAATACCCATGAACCATCTGGCTTTAATGCTAGCAATATGTTATACAATTTGTGGTGTTTCTAAAATGAAGCCAATCTTATCAATGCATCATTTGTGGTGTTTCCAAAAAGACAGATGCATCAAATTTAGCTAGGCCATGTCCTCAAGCATTGCCACTAAGCGACTGCTCAACAAACACTTTCTTGATATCATCATCCAAAGACATGAACATAGATATATTTTTTGGCTTCTCCAAAATGAGTTTTAGTGTTGCAATTTGATATAAAGGAGAAAATCCCATTTTCTTGAGTTCTTTAGCAATATCAGATCGATTTTCATTACCTTTTATTATAGCCTCAGTCACTATTTGAATCCTTTTCCCAAATGCTTCAAACAATTTCTCCAATACAATGACAATCTTCGCTTCATCACTTGAGCTTGCAGCTCTTTTCCTCTTATTTTGACTGTTCATGGATTGGCTTCCTTCTTTGTTTAAAGACATAGGAGATGCATCTTACTGGACACAATTATCACTAGCATTAACTTCGTTATTGCTTTGCTCTTCCATCATGTCAGCGGGGACTTTAGCTCTTTGTCCGTTAGCACGATCATTTCCAAAGATATTAGAAAGTCTATTAAACAAAGGAAATGGTTTGCTCCTCCATTCAGCTGCTTCCTTGTGGTGCTATGATAAAACAAGACACCACTTAGCTTATTTTCAATATGTTATAAATAATAATAATAATAAAAAGTAACAAAAGCAAGTTTAAAATTTGCACTCATCAAACCCACTTGACATCTTTATTTAAGAAAAATAGCAAAAATAAGTATGTACATGCACATAAGTCTCCCATGTATCATTACTGTCAACCTCAACACACTTTTTTATATCATTCCAAGCAAATCCATTTGTGTTTATCATGTCATAGACTATACTATATTGCTTTTTCCACTTCTTCAATTTTGATTCAATATGAGGACATGCCTTTAGCCCCGAATTAAGACATTTAATATTCAAAGCCTTCTCCATTTGGACCATAATACCAGATTTGAAACTACCAGTCTCACAACGATGGCCTACAGCCACAAACTCATCCAGCACGGTAAAAAATGCATCTTCCTCAAACTTGGACCATGACCGCCTAGTTCCTTTCTTTCCTTGTTCAAAGTTTTGATTGTTACCTTCACTTTCCATCCCTAAGAATAATCAGCACAAATAAAATAATACCACAATCAATAATTGGAATCTGCAAAGAAAGCATAACTTCGTTTCAAAGCATGACTCTTCTCTGGTACATCACATAACCTTAAAAACAAAAGGAAAAATAAAATATGCAAACAAATTGATAAATTGACTACAATACCATAATTAATACATTATTAAGGATGAATTATCATGCCTCAAATACAAATTACTATCACATAAAAAATTAAACACCCTTAGAACTCAAACATAACCATATTGTTGGAGAACAATCAATATAAAACCAAAATAACAGAATAATAAAAACCAACGATTATATTTTATATAGATATAATTGAATCAATACAGCAATAATATAGATTGTAGAATACTGACTTGAATTGTAGATAGAGTCCTGCAGATTTGCAGTGTCCTTTAGACAGTATTTCTCCTCTACCCTTGTGCTTGTAGTTCGATAGGAGTCTGTCCACCAGGATTAAACTATCTTAAATCTAAGCCTAAGCACAGTGGCTTGATTTCTGGCGAACAGTGGTATGAATTCTCTCAGGAAGTGTAAAATGTGAGAATGATGATGCAGTTCAAAAAGTGTCTTTCTGGTTTGATCGTATTGTCATTATATAGAGGTCTGACACCTCTTTATCCAACAGTTATGTTAACTGTTTTAATTAATTCGAATTTCAGATTTTGGTTTTATCTGAAAAAACCGAATTTTCAATTAATAAAAATAAATTATTAATTAAATCAACAGAGCCCAAGAGCCCCAAGGCCCAAGGCCCATCTTTTGACAATTAATTATATATATATATTTATTACACAAATATATATATAATCCAAGCTCAAACCATGTTGAGGCTCAAGTTTGCCTCCACTAGGCCCATACTCTATTTAGTAATTCTAATGTGTTGGTGCTTATAAACTATGGAAGAAAACTACTCTCTTCCAATGTGGGACTACATGCAAGTGTATTTTCCTATACAAACTCTAACACATATCACCTTCTATCACATTTTCCGTCTCTTCAATTTCATTTATTTCATGCTCTAGTGGATCCCTAGACATCTCCCCCCTAATGAGATTATGTAAAGACAACAAGTCGTAATTATTCGACATTGTGTCTATATTGGATAAAATGATGGACTCCTTAGTATACCCCACCTACCATTTAGCAACCCAAAACAATGTTCTATTATGTTTCTTGTTTTAGCATGCTTCATATTAAAATATTATTGATGATTTACAGGTGTATTTCCTTCTCTCCATTCCGATAGATGATACCTTGTTCCTCTATATGGTGTAAGAAATCCCTCACCATTTGTGTACTCACCATCTACAAGGTAATAATAATAAACAAAAAAAAAAAAAAAAAAAAAAAAAAAAAAAAAAAAAAAAATCAAATAAATATTATTATTTGGTTATTATATAAACTTACAATTATTTATAAAGTGGACTAACTAATGGCCTTACCGGTAGGAACTCTTAATCCATTAGGCCTAGTTATGGCATCTCGAAGGACCCTAGAGTCGGATGCGATCCCTCCCAACCTGACAAAACAAATATAAATTGCATGTCACGTGAGCAAACGGCCAACACATTTGTTGCAATTTCTCCCTTTCTAGTCCAATATCTCGATTTTTCTGTTTTAGCTACTTGCACTTTAATGTATGTTCCATCTAGTGCTCCCAAGAAATTTTATAAATATATCACAAATAAAACCCATTATTTACTTCCAAATAATCTGCAAAGAAGCCAAACTTGGTAATCACCTTTTTGTTGGCATCCAAATAATTCTCCACTAAAAAGAAATAACTTATAGGACAAAACACACCAAGTAGGAAACAAAGACTTTCTTAAACAAGTCAAAAAGTACAAGGAACTAAAGAATTTTCTCTAAAAAGCCTACAATCCCAACTTATCCGTCCTACAAAAGAAACTCCACAGCAAGCATAAAACAAACACTAATCTTCCTTTGTGTAATCTTTTAGGAGAACTTTATTTGATTAATTGGAATCAAATAATCAAACAGCTCTCCTAACTTCTTCCTTTCAAAAGGTGTAAAACCCAAGGCCTCATCCAAAAGTCTACTCTGAAGTTGCTTTCTTAAATACCCAATTGCAAATTAATTGCCAATTAACATCGAGTATATATATATGTCGCTACAGTAGATATGAATTCTACGAAAATTAGAGAAGACAAGAAGAAAAAAACAGAGAAAAGGAAGGAAAGATTCAGAGCACACAGTCAAAATTGTTGAGGACAATCAATGTAATTTGTAAAAAAACAAAGCGGTAGAAGAAGGAATAAGAGAGGTATTCAAAGGGAGTGACTAGAAAAACTTGTCTGGGTCAAGATTCGAAGAAAAGGAGTCGATGTTGAACAAGAGAGAGGCGGAATTCGCATGTTCAATTTAGCAAAGGGCTTATTTTGCGAACCGATTTTCAGCTTCTCTGTATAAGGAGAACGAGTGCAGGTTTTTTTTTTTACTATTGGATTATACAATCCCATTTGAGTTAGTCCCCTATCTAACCAAACATGGGCTTCATGTTCTATTTAGCACAATCCTATCTAGTGAGCCCTACCAAAGAAGCCCTCAATTTTCTCTAGCTTGAGTTAGCATTTTAGGTCAAGAGTACTCCTTTTTATATTGGGAGTGAATGCCCTTTTTCTGTCTTTTTTTTTTCAATGTGGGATTGTTAGACCTCTGATGATGTGGCATCTTAGGATAGGGTAGTTAATGATATCCTGGCACATGGTAATTTCCTTTTGGGATTAGTGTACACATTCGAAATGCACATTTATGGGCCTCACTCCTAATGTCTAGGCCCTTTTAAAGGTGTAAAGCATGATTTAATTCGTGGGGCCTCGGAATGTGATTGTCATGTGGTCCTAGGTGGCCTTTGTGTGTAATTTTTAGGCCTGGGTGACCTTTCTCCTTCCTGATTAGGCCTCGGCAGCCTTTGGGAAGGTCGATTGCAGGTGCCTTGGAAGGGTCCAGTCACTTCCCCAAGCAATATGGGTCTGAATTCCACTTGGGCTTTTGGGAGTGGGCCCCATTGACATTTTGGGTACAACAAACATAATTATCTTGTTTGGGTCGAACAACCATAATTATTAGTATTAGAAAAACATTAACACTTGATCTATGCTCTATAAAAATATAGTGAACAAGATATGTTGTCTAATAGTTTAAATGATCCTAGATATCTCTCTTAATTGTCAATTGATTTTGAGTTGGATATTCACATTTTAATATAGAATCAAAACAAGTTATCCACATGTTTGGCCATATGGCCCATGTGCTTCCACGACTCCCACATCACCTGATATATGTTGTCTACATATTTGACTTGAGCTATCTAACTCAACACAAATACATATTGACCTCGTATCCATATAAGTGGAATATATGAAAGGGTTAATTTCAATTTAGTACCTTGAACTCTTATCCTAAAGGCACGTTTACTCATGTACTCTCAATTTTAACAATTACATACCTTTTTTTTTTTTTTTTTTTTTTTTTTTTTTTTTTTTTTTTTTTTTTTTTTTTTAGAATCCAGCGTTAACGTTCACCATCAAAATTTTAGTTAATTGCTTACGTGGCAAGCCTGGGTCCCACCTATTCACTCCTTTCAATGTCAGTTGAAAGGTATTTTTGAGTATTTTGTTCAAAAATGGTTTGGAATTAATCAGTGGCGGTTGTAGGATTAAAAGCCGGTTGGGCAAAACTTACATATTAAACTCGACGGTACGAGTGAATTTCATTAATAAACATAAAAAGATACACCTAGTTCGGGGGACATAATGAGCCTTCCCCTCAAATGCATTTCTATCCATAAATAAAAGTTCAACAAATACAAAATTTGAAACTAAAACCAAAAGTAAATGCAATGCAATACAAAACAAAACAAAACAATACTATTTAAATATAAAATTTAACCATGCGAAGCTTGGAACTCTTAAATTCCTCAATTATCGATACATTATCGATATTATTAGCAAACTTTCTTTCAATGTGGAGGATCATATAGTCAGCAACAAATTCATTAGCTAAGGTGCTTCAAAGTTGACTCTTAATAATTCTCATATATGAGAAAGCTCGTTTTGTTGTTGCTATAGAAACAGGAAGAGTCAACACCAACCGAATCGACCTGTCAAGGAAAATGTAGTTTTCTGCCAAGGTAGTTTCCACCAATTTGACATAACTGAGGAAGAGTAGTGGTTTCCTTAAAGTAAGGAAGACGATGTATATCATTTTGAAAATACATGAGCTCTATTTTTAAAGCTTTCAACTCATGTGGAAAGAAATCAACTAGATAGAATTTCTCAGCAAGTTGACATATATACTCAATATTGAATGACTTGAAGAAATTACGAGGATCCAATGATGAGCTAAGGGTAAAAATTTCAACTGTTTGCTTCGGAATCTATCATTTAACTCCCTCAACATGCAATCTATAACATCATTAAATACATCAATGTGATATGCATGCTCAATTGTATTAACATCTTTTTGTTAACAAGAACGACGTGTGCCCGTCATATAACGAGCACCCATATCAGGAACATCAACACCATGTAGTTCACAAAATGATAACACACTCATGAATAAATCATCACAACCATGTTCCCTCATATCTTGAAGTTGCATTTTTGTGTTTTCAACAAAATTTAAAGCACTTACAGTGTCTTGAGTTTTAGTATGAAATGCTTGACTAAGAAAATGAGTCAATCCCATAATTTTATCCATCAAAACCAATGCCAACACAAACTCAAAAGACATTATAGCAATATAGTTACTCTCTGCATTGCCAAATAAGTTCTCTTTAAACTGTTGGTTACTTTTTCTAGAAGATAATTGGTGGGAATCAATGTGCACTTCAATGAAATTGCCCAGATTAGATGAGTTAATGGATTCATCATGGCCTCGAAAAGTCGATGCTTGATTTGCTAGATACCTAATGCTCTTAATTGTGGTCGTAAGTCGCAACCGATTGTCCACTACTTGCTGCTTTAATTGCTTATCTACCACTTTTTCAATATGAAGATATGAGTTTTCTAAGCTAATCCACTTTTGCATAGCAAGATGATGTGGTAAATTTAGTTTGCCAACATGATGTTGAAATGCACATTGATTCCCACCAATTCTCTTCCTTTCTTTATACTCACCAACAATAAAGGTTGGGCGTGACTGATTCATGTCAAAAAGGAAGCCAAGAAAAAAAAACCTTATTCTTAGCCAAGTGAATTGGCCAAACCACTTTTTATAAAATCGACGAAAGTCCCGCCCTTCTAAGTGGCTTGGATAATCTTCTAACTCGGGTTGACATGGTCCTAAAAGAATAATGCTCTTCGCACATTATCTTGTTCATTCACCGAATATTTGCATATTAAACGACGTAATCCTGGATCACGCTCAAGATAATTAATAATAAAATCATGATCATTATCAACTCTTTGAGATTCAACTCTTTCAACTAGAGGCTCGACAAGACTCAGGAAGATTTTGCTCATCACATATTGGAGTAGATAAAGAAGCGCTAGAAGGCAATATACTAGATGATGACCCATCATTCTTTTTCTTAAAAAAAAAGACAACAAATTCTTTGTTCTCTTGGGATTCCGATTGTGATCCGACATAATAAAAGATAGCATACGAATAATGTTTAGAAAGAATTTTAATCAAACATACCAACAAAAAATCAAACAAATTCTCATAATAGCTCAACAAAACCAAACCAAAAATGATAATTCATCTATAATTAAACCCTAGAATACTCAATTTTAACAAAATCTCAAATCAAAGCTTTAGAATAATTCATCCCTAATTAAACCCTAGAATACTCAATTTTAAATTAAAACTATAATTAAAGATATATAGCAAAGGAGAGAATGAGAATAATACCTTGTTGGAAACAAAAGAAGAGGAGAAGATGTTGTTGCCAAGTTGCCCACCCAAGATAATAGAAGATGTAGCCAATATAGGAAGAATTTGAACCAAAAAAAAAGAGAGGGAGAAACTTGTTGCTGTCTGGTAGCAAAGAGAGAGAGAAACAAGAAATCTAATAGCCAAAGAGAAGGAGAGAAAAGATGGGACCACATGGATGGGCAACATATGGGTAGGGTTTGTTTTTATTTCTTTTTATTTTTGGACTGGGTTTATAACACATATAGGTATTTATTTTTTTGAAAAATTTTGGGCTGGACAGGCACCCAGCCTGCCCTTTGCCCAACCCCGCCATTGGTATTAATGCATGTAATGTGTTCTTCATGGGCGGGAAACACCAATTATCCAAAAATACTCTTCAACTGACATTGAAATAAGTGAATAGGTGAGACTCATGTCGGCCATGCAAGCAATTAATGGAAATTTTGATGGCGAAGTTAACATCAGAACTAGATTGCAAAATTTAAAAGCTTAGGATATGTAATCATTAAAATTAAGAGTACAGAGACAAAATGTACTGATGAGTCGATTTTATATTATATATTTAGCCTCATTCTTAGTATATTTTGGTTAATATTTTGGAAGAATTTTGATACTTTGAATTATATTTCCAATATAGGACTTACGACTTCTTCTGGAGCAAAACATAATCAAATGGACGAATTTTGGAGTAATTCCAGTTGGAGGACGTTCATGAGCCACTTAGCTTGATCGTATCAAAATATCAGATTTTTCCACCAAGCGATGATTTCCTGGCGAATAAATGAAGGAGCGATGTGCAGTGCTGGAATAGTGACGTTTTGGGCTTGTATTGCGTTTTTGGAGCCCAAGATGACCTCGGATGGGTTCGTGGCCTTCTAGAGAAGTGTTCGGAATATTTTTATCTTTAAAACGAGCTATCTTGGGCCAGATTTGGAGGAGATTTGAGACCAAAACGTGGCTGACCAGATTATTGGCAAATTCTCCTAATTCCATTTGGACTTTATTTCCTAGTATTATATTATTTTAACTTAGTTTCCTTGTGGGGATTGGGTAGCTAGGTTTTAGGAGGTATTTAAGCTCCTTTTCACAGCAATTTAGGGACTCCCTTTTTTTTACTTCTTTTTGGCTTTTGGAGCAATTGCTAGGGTTTTGGATTTTCGCGACTTTCAGGTGTTTTCATTCTTATTCTTCTTAATGATATTTTCTTGGATTTCAATTGTGAACATGCGTAACTAACTCTCTTTTGCTAGGGTGAGGCCACGAGCCTTAGCAAGAATATGTAGTTTCTGTCCAATTTGCTTATGATTATATGCATGCAGGTTTTCGAATTATTCATCACTGGGTTAAACTATCTAAGTGTCTTGATGCTTGATCACCATTAGGATGTTTAGAAAAGTAATTTGATGCAGTTTTGGTCGGAGGTCGGTCCCTGAAATTGACGAAGGCTTCTTGTGATTAATATGTGCAAGTTCACTTAGGATGAATACCACGTCTTAAGGGTTGCATGGTTTTTCAAAAGGTTTCACAGAACTTAATGAGTCATGTATGTTTAGATTTGATCTGAATACCACAGACGAATTGCATGTGTGATATACGCTCTATGTTGGGGGTCCAAGTAGGCATATATTAGGAATACCTAACCTTCGAAATATGCATGTATAGGTCATAAGTAATTGGGGGAACTATATAGAATTGTTAAGGTGACGGCGGATCCCTAGTGCTTTCTTAATTTGATTTCTGAAAACACAACTGTTTCTCTTGCTCTTAGTACCTGCGCAAACAGGGTTAAAACTCCTACAAAACTTGCAAGAATGACAAGGTTATTGTAGTATAAATGATTCTCGCAAGGTCGTTCTCCGCAGGGATTATTAAATAACTCGTAGCAACCAAATTCTAATTAATTATTGCAAAAAAGAAAGTTGAGATGTTTGATTTGAAAACCTTAAATTAAAAGGAATTTAACTAATAAAAATAAGGCAATATGCAAAATTAAAGCTAAGAGCAAGAGAAACAGTTGTGTTTTTAGAAATCAAATTAAGAAAGCACTAGGGATCCGCCGTCACCTTAACAATTCTATATAGTTCCCCCAATTACTTATGACCTATACACACTGGCGGATCCACAGAGGCGCAAGGAGGTGCAGCTGCACCTCCCCTCGCCGGAAAAAGCTTTGAAGTCGCCGGAGTTTGCCCCTCAGCTCTACCTTGGAGGTGCCCACCACCTGTTCGAATAAATGCCTCAACAACCCAGCAACCTCCTTTTCTTTGTTGCGATGCTGTGCTTGGAGCAGCTTTGTTTTGTTTTTTAATTCCTGGCCAAACGAAGTCGTTTTGGCCAGGCCCAAAAAAAAAATTAAGAGCAAACCTGAAGCCTTATTTCCACTGAACGGAAGAGTGTGTTCTTGGGGTCCAAGTTGGAATTAAATGGACCAAGGGATACCTGCGTTGAATGATTTTTCAAAAGCTTTGCATGCTCTTGAGTGTCTTGCTGCAGATCCATCCCTCTCCTCCAAGTTTGAATGTTTTTTTTTCATTTTTTTTCTTCTGGTTTTTTTTTCCTTCTGTTTTTTATGTATTTTAATATTGTTGTTTATTTTAGAGAGATTATTTTTGTTTTCTGATTTGGTTATGTTTGTATAACCATAAACCCTAAATCCTCTTTCGAATAATTCGGGAATTTTTTTTGGCTTTTAGCCTTTTAAATGTTGCCCCTTCTCAGGAAAATTCCTGGATCCGCCGCTGCCTATACATGCATATTTCGAAGGTTAGGTATTCCTAATATATGCCTACTTGGACCTCCAACATAGAGCGTATATCACACATGCAATTCGTCTGTGGTATTCAGATCAAATCTAAACATACATGACTCATTAAGTTCTGTGAAACCTTTTGAAAAACCATGCAACCCTTAAGACGTGGTATTCATCCTAAGTGAACTTGCACATATTAATCACAAGAAGCCTTTGTCAATTTCAGGGACCGACCTCCGACCAAAACTGCATCAAATTACTTTTCTAAACATCCTAATGGTGATCAAGCATCAAGACACTTAGATAGTTTAACCCAGTGATGAATAATTCGAAAACCTGCATGCATATAATCATAAGCAAATTGGACAGAAACTACATATTCTCGCTAAGGCTCGTGGCCTCACCCTAGCAAAAGAGAGTTAGTTACATATGTTCACAATTGAAATCCAAGAAAATATCATTAAGAAGAATAAGAATGAAAACACCTGAAAGTCGCGAAAATCCAAAACCCTCGTAATTGCTCCAAAAGCCAAAAAGAAGTAAAAAGGGAGTCCCTAAATTGCTGTGAAAAGGAGTTTAAATACCTCCTAAAACCTAGCTCCCCAATCCCCACAAGGAAACTAAGTTAAAATAAAATAATACTATGAAATAAAGTCCAAATGGGATTAGGAGAATCTGCCAATAATCTGGTCAGCCACGTTTTGGCCTCAAATCTCCTCCAAATCTGGCCCAAGATAGCTCGTTTTAAAGATAAAAATATTCCGAACACTTCTCCAGAAGGCCATGAACCCATCCGAGGTCATCTTGGGCTCCAAAAACGCAATACAAGCCCAAAACGTCACTATTCCAGCACTGTACATCTCTCCTTCATTTATTCGCCAGGAAATCATCGCTTGGTGGAAAAGTATGATATTTTGATACGATCAAGCTAAGTGGCTCACGAACGTCCTCCAACTGGAATTACTCCAAAATTCGTCCATTTGATTATGTTTTGCTCCAGAGGAAGTCGAAAGTCCTATATTGGAAATATAATTCAAAGTATCAAAATTCTTCCAAAATATTAACCAAAATATACTAAGAATGAGGCTAAATATATAATATAAAATCGACTCATCAAAATACCCCCAAACTTAGCTTTTTGCTTGTCCTCAAGCAAAACAAGACTCAAACAAAATTAAAAACTTAACAAACTAGACATCTAGCTAACACTTTAACCAGAACAAAATTTCCACCTTCAAGTTGCAATCCATAGCAAATTTTAAAAACTAGAACATCTGTTCAATAGATGCAACTAATCCCACCACAGAGTCTAAGCTATTTAGAATCAATTAGAAAAGAATTCACAAACTTTCTTCGGTGTAAAGTAAACCATCATAGTTAAGGAAACTCGACTAAAACCTTGATAAGAATTCAGAGTACGAAATTGAAATTAACCATATATGAAACCTCCTCTCCATGTTAATGAAGTGGCAGAAATTTTTTTACTAGTTAAATTGGTGCAAAATAAATAAATATCAACCATGAATGAAAAGCAGATTCCTAGGCATGCAGGCAAAGACATTATGAAAAAGGCAGTTACTTAGATCTAAGTTGAAACTCAATTCAAGAATTGCTCTTGTTATTTTTCTATTAATTTTTTGCTTAGTCACACGTGTTTCTAAAGTTGAGTTCAATTAGCAGAGGATGGGAGTTAAACACAAAAGTTACCCATGGTTAGGAAGTAAATAAACCTGTTTCTAAATTTGAGTATATCGCAATACAAACGATGACAAATGCATGTAATAAATAAATTAGTTTCTTTTTTTATTAAAATAAATTTGATTGTAAACGTAAGTTAAGCAAGTTAACTAAAACAACGAACCCATCTCATTACACTTTAAGTTCGAGTTCTCTTCATCGTAGATTAGATGAATTTAGATAGTTTAGAGTATTAAAAAAAAGTTGGGTTATTTGATAGGCAATTGTCCCAAATTAAAAAAGAAAAACTTGTGACTGTGGTTCTATCCACGTGCATTTTGTCACCTACTTTAGTACGATTCTGGATTATAATAATGAGGAGAAAGCATCTTTCGGATGAATATCCTCCTCTTAACTGATCCATGTGTTTATGATAAATAAAAACAAAAACAAAAAACAAAAAAATTGATCCCTGTGCTAAATGCCTTTTCATTTTAGAGAGAACTTTACAGAGACATAAATACTTTTCATTTTAGAGAGAATTTTACAGAGATGTCCTACATAAGAATGTCCAGGAATAGTCAAAGAGAATTCTTCAATTCATTAGTTCGTTTGATCTTCTTTTCCTTGAGTGTACTGTTGAATGAGCGATGACATAATTGTCATTAGTAAGCGTGGATAGGCTAAATTAAATTTTTGGTTGATAAAATAACAACTCACTTGGGCTATAGCCCAAGTTAAAACCTTCTAGAGACCGTCCTTGCTTGACTTACAAATCATAGGTCTCAAGTTCAAACCTCCATAACATCTTGATTGTGCATGTGCATGAAAAACCCGCATCTTCTTTACAAATGATCACTTGTAATAAAAAAAACAAAAGACCTCTGTTTAGGATGTTGTTAGGCCGAGTAAGTATCTTCTTCTCGACGAGGGTTCTTTTATGTACCTAGATAAATTATATATTCAATAGCCTTCTTGCTTTTCTAATTGGAGTGCCTACTACCAGTGAACTAATTCAAAGTGAACCAATGACTTTACATGAAAATTGAAATTTTTGCATGTCAATGTCGTTTAAAACAGTGAAAAGTGAAAGTAATAAAGGGGAAACCATAAGTGGAATCAATTTTCTAGTAAGTTGAAACAAACTTTAAATTATACCAAGTTCTTATGACTGAAAAAAAAACAGGGTTACTACAAATTTGAGGCCGGAAAAAATGTAAGACATATAGAAACCATTTAATTGTTGTTGGGGTTTTTTTGTTTTAAAAAAAATTATACAAGCAATATTGGGAAGGGGGAGTCGAACTTAAGACCTCAGATACGGGTAAATGTTTTTAAGTTCGATTCCCCCTTCCCAATATTGCTCATATAATTTTGGGTGTAACAATTGCGTCATGATTTGTATTGACCCTAATCATGTTTAGTTCTTAGAAATAAATTCATGGGAGATTAGTTCTCATGTCTTTTTCTAGACAATGAGAAATGGAAATACATTGCTCATGTTTGATTTGTGTAGAAATTGGAAATAAAATTTGTTTAGTTTTTCAATATACCCCTAAGTTAAAAAGGTAATTAATACTTCCTTATGTTTACTTACCGTAAATGGGTATGGGAGAAAAATGAATGATTCCAATTACTAACTTCCCCACACTTACTAAACACGGAAAAATTCGTAAACACATATCCTCAAAATTAAGGAATCATATCAACTAGGGGGTAGTTTATCCGACTCCATTCATGTTCTTCCTTACTACCTTCCAAAAATAACCATACAATTTTATAATTTTCATTCGTGTGTTGATTTCATTTGGTTAGTAAACATCTAAATGGGAATGACTTCTTCCCATACCAATTTCTTACTTCCCCATTCTTAAATTCTCTCATTCTTGATAAATAAACATACATGATATTTTTAATGGGGTCAAATTGGTCACAAAAAACACAATTCATGTTTCTCTTGATTCTCCCTCTCTTTTTCCCACAAGGCATGAAACTTTTCCCAAACACGGACTTACTAAACATGAGAACGAAAATAATTTCCCATTCCCAAAGTCATTTTCCCACCAATCAAATGTATCCCTAAGGTAAATTTTTATTTTTATTTTTTTGAAAGACATAAAATTAATACCGACATCCATGTCCACAACATAGGGAAGTGTGTCCATTACAAGAAGCACTAGCACGTGGTAGATGCACTTCCTTCTTCATTACCTCCCTTTTTGTGTAGGGTTGATGCAGGGCATATAGGGAAGAAAAAACCAAATAAGAAACAATAATAGAAGAGCAATTATTATGAGATTGATACTAAAGTTAAAACTAATAAGGCGTTTTTGAACCAAAAAAACATAACTAGTAAGAGCATCTTCAATGGGGGTCGTATAATGAGGTATATATTAAATATACATAATTTGTTATTGGAATCACCTGAAATGAGAGGTGTAAATGATTGTAAATTTGCATAACAATCGTGAGATACAAATTTAGATGCACATGTACATTTTTTTTACATCATTTACAGGTGGGGCCTACAAGAGAAAAAGTAACAAAATATGGACAAAAATGAGCAAAATCAATTATACATCTTTAGATTTACATATACTCCATTGGAGCAAAAATCACATTTACAACCCCAAAAATATGAAAGAGATATAAAAGTGGGAAAATACACCCCCCTTTGGATGCTCAAAGGCCAATATGCGATATACTTGATGGTACTATGGTAGTAGGTGATCAATGAATGAAATAATAATATAATAAAGGTACCATCTCCAGCATCGGTTGGTGAGATAACTACCCCACTAAAATGACCATATGGCCCCTCACGGCCTTACCCCACCTAAGCTTCCCTTCCAAATTAGCATGTGACCCACTGATATTTACCAAACTACCCCTTTCTCCCTCATTTCTAACTACCCACCTGATTTTTGAAGTCTACCCTCAAAAACCTTATATAAACCCCTCCAAACCAACCCCATCTTTCTCAGAGCCTCCTTACCAACTCCTCCTCCCCCTCTCTCTCTCTCTCCTGTCTCTTGTTTTTTCTCTCAAGAATTTCACTTTCAGCTTTCGCCAAAAAAGGAGAGTAAGAGAGAGAGAGAGACAACAATGGCTCTGACAAACCCAGCAACCCTGTCTTCCATATCACTCTGCAATACTCACTATCTCTCCCCTCCTACCCCCCAATCTCACCAACCCATTTTCTCTCCATTCCTCACCAAGAGAAAGACCCTCCACCCAATCTGCGCCGCCGCCGCCGACTCCGGCAAGGCCCCCGTCGTCGCCGAAAAGCCTCCCAAGGCCTCGACTGAGGTGAAGCCAGTTTCCGGCAAATGGAGCTTGGAGAGCTGGAAAACCAAGAAGGCCTTGCAGCTCCCGGAGTACCCAGATCAGAATGCGCTCGAGACTGTGCTCCAGACCATCGAGTCTTTTCCTCCGATTGTGTTTGCTGGAGAGGCCAGGCACTTGGAGGAGAAGCTGGCTGAGGCTGCCTTGGGCAATGCTTTTCTTTTGCAAGGTGGGGATTGTGCTGAGAGTTTCAAGGAGTTCAGTGCCAATAACATCAGGGACACCTTCAGAGTTATGCTTCAGATGGGTGTTGTTCTCATGTTTGGAGGCCAAATGCCTGTTATCAAGGTACAGTTTTTGATAATTTCATGTGGGTTATTGACGGATTGTTGTTTTCTTTTTGAGTTTTTTGTTTCTGAGTTGATTGATTTTGAATGGTATATGGAATGAGAATTGAGAGTTGTGGGGTTGGTTGATTTAGGTGGGAAGAATGGCGGGTCAATTTGCAAAGCCGAGATCGGAGGCATATGAGGTGAAGGATGGAGTGAAGTTGCCAAGTTACAAAGGGGACAATATAAATGGTGATGCTTTTGATGAGAAATCTAGAAATCCAGATCCTCAGAGGTTGATAAGGGCTTATTGCCAATCTGCGGCTACTTTGAATCTTCTTAGGTCCTTTGCCACCGGGGGGTATGCGGCTATGCAGAGGGTTACACAATGGAATCTTGATTTTGCTCAGAACAGCGAGCAGGGAGATAGGTATGCACTCAAGCCGTCCATAGTGATATTTGTTTAGACGACTGAAATGAATACCAAAAAATGTCTATTAGCAGATTTCTCTTTTACAAAAGTAAAGAAAACATTAGAAAAAACTGTGGACTCATAGGAGTTCTGGAGATAAATCAAACTTAAATATCTGAATTAGTGAACCTGTATGTATTATCCTAAGGCGCAATTGAGTTTCAATTTGTTTGTCTTTTCTGTTGGTATGGTTTAACAGGTACCAGGAACTGGCTAGCCGGGTCGATGAGGCCTTAGGGTTCATGACTGCTGCTGGACTTACAATTGAACACCCCATCATGACAACAACTGATTTCTGGACATCCCATGAGTGTTTGCATCTGCCCTATGAGCAATCACTCACAAGGAAGGATTCTACTTCTGGTTTGTACTATGATTGCTCTGCTCACATGCTTTGGGTTGGGGAGCGTACCAGGCAACTGGATGGTGCCCATGTAGAGTTCCTAAGAGGACTTGCCAATCCCCTTGGCATCAAGGTAGGCTTTCTCATACTAATCCTAGTTGAGTGACTAAAATGTCATAATTGACGTTTTTTCTTTGTACCTTTTGTCTATTGCAACTACATTGACTTAAGATGACTTGTGATGCAGGTGAGCAACAAAATGGACCCAAAAGAGCTTGTTAACATCATCGAAATCCTGAACCCTAGTAACAAGCCAGGAAGGATCACAATCATTGCAAGAATGGGTGCTGAGAACATGAGAGTCAAGCTTCCTCATTTGATTAGGGCTGTCCGCCAAGCAGGGCAAATTGTGACCTGGGTCTGTGATCCAATGCACGGAAACACCATAAAGGCACCTTGTGGACTTAAAACACGTCCATTTGATTCAATTCTGGTATAATTTCACTACCTATTTCTTTTCTTTTTCAGCATATAGTCAGTATCATTTTCCCCTTGTTGATTGCTGTTGGGTGAACAATCCAAGTCATGTGGAGTAATGTGTAAGAAATGTCCTGTAGAGTGAAAAGTGCTCATAATCCTCTGGTGGCTAATTCATTGTTGCTAGTTTGTGGTTAATTTAGGAGAGTAATCAACATGTGGTTTTCTACTCGACTTAAATGTTATTATGTGGAAGGATGGGGATGGGTTGCATTATCCTAGTACATTAACAATTTGTGAGCTATTTATTTGTTACCAACATCATTAACTAATTATCATATAACCACGGTTGTTACTCTGTATTTGTTTTAGGCTGAGGTGCGAGCATTCTTTGATGTGCACGAACAAGAAGGTAGCCATCCTGGAGGAATTCATTTGGAGATGACTGGCCAGAATGTGACAGAGTGCATTGGAGGGTCTCGAACAGTGACTTTCGATGATCTGAGCTCACGTTACCACACACACTGCGACCCGAGGCTCAATGCTTCTCAGGCTCTTGAGCTATCCTTTATCATCGCTGAACGACTTAGGAAGAGAAGGATTGGAACTCAACGGTCACTCTCTTTAGGCCTCTAAACAACTTCGAAAGTCCTGCATCATTTCAAATGATTGTTTGTACTCGGTAGAAAATAAAGTTCGTATGGGTTATCCAGCAAACTGCATATTGCAGCCACCACATTGCTCCACCTGCAGGCTTGTGATAGTGTCAAACAATCAAGAGCAACTACAAAATTCCAGAGAAAGAGAAGCTCTGGAAGAAAGTCTAGTAATATGGTGGCCTCAGATTGCAGGCTGCAAAGGCAAGATGCTGGAGATAAAAGCTTGTAAAATTTTTATAATTTAATTTGTATTTGGATTTGAGTTTGTTTTATTTATGGATGTAGTTTGATCAGATATCCCTCGAAATTTTTTTAAGAATAAAAGCAAAAGCCTTTGATTATGGTAAATCAAAGTGGACGAAGAGGAATATATGAAGTTTATTCGATTTCAAGATGTTTGCTAGCAGATCCAATGATCCGAGTAATTCTTCCCTACAATCAGTTATATATGTTTATATCTCTCTCATCACGTGACATAATATATGATAAGAGAGAGCCGATGGTATGAAAGAAAACAATCCACCATTTGGGCGATACCAAATTTTAGGATGACAAACAGAGAATGCCTTAATACAGTCGTTGTATGCAACTGTAATCGTACATTCAACCTTTCACATGTCAATCATGTAAATCATCAGTGGTGGTTTTGTGAGAGAAATGTTGTACAAGATTTTCATAGTGAGAGAGAAGAAAAAGAATTGAGTGATTGCTAAACTAAACTGCAGGAATAATTCACTTTCAACTTTGCCTCTAACCCAATTTGCAACCAACTTGGCTTATGCAAATTTTATTTTATTTTATTAAAATTTTTGGTTTAGGTGATTGGTTTTGTTGGTAGGATTTTATCTAGATTAGATATTAATTTAAGGGCTACAAGTTACAACAAAGAAGAAACCAAAACCCTCATATTCATGGCATTCAAAATTGGAAAATATGTTGGACCAACTTAGATACATGTTTTAGACATGCAAGAGGGCATGGATGGCTTTACACGTTTTAATGAATACATGCATGGCGACGAGTATTTTTTTTGTTTAGAATCGAAATGAGTTATTCAAGAAGTGCATGTTTGCTGTGCTGTGCTGCATGCATAACATATGTTATGTATGTAATTACTAAATTAACAAGAAAATTAAAGGCAAACAGGGTCTAGTTCAATGAAAAAGAGTCTTGACTTGCAAATCATAGGTCTCATGTTCGAATCTTCACGACGTCATATATAGTTTTGTGTGTGTGAGAAATCCTCATTCATCGTAGTTTACACTATCGCTTATACTAAAAATAAAGAAAATTAAAAAAGAAAGCATTATTATAACATTATTATACTCTTGGTCCATCCAGATGTGACCCTTGACCGTCAATTCCATTATAGGGAGTAGATGGCCACGAGAATTGAAGGAGCAGATCATCTGGTAGATGAAACCTTATATAGCTCAAATTCAAACTTTATTTTTTAAGGTGAGGGTGAACCCATACAATACATAATCACGTGGCCATCTAATTGTTGTAGATAGATGCGACAGCTGAAGCACTTGCAAAACGTGTAGATATAAGGACACTAGTTAGGGACCACCATTTATATGTAAAGGACACTAGTTAGGGACCACCATTTATATGTAATACGACGTAGCTATGTAGCTATGTTTCATTGACTAGCCGTGGCAAGTAGGAGAAACACTTGCACGTGCTATCACCATCCAATTCCCTTACGACACACACGTTGCCATCTAATTATTGTAGATACATACAACAGCTGAAGCACTTGCAAAAGGTGTAGATATTAAGTACACTGCGTGTAGATATCAAGTACACTGGTTAGGAACCACCATTTATATGTAATACGTAGCTATGTAGCTATGTTTCATTGACTCACGGTGGCAACTAGGAGAAACACTTGCATGTGCTATCTCCAGCTAATTACGTTATGACATATATGATAACTTTTTAACGTGGCATAACGTTATTGGTCGGGATAGCAAAATAGTATTATCCTCGTGGCAACCAAGTTTTTCTCCAAGGGGCTCGTTTGGTGCTTATGCTTGGATTAGATTAGATGAATCACTAAATTGAAGATATGTTGAAGGAGGAAATGAAGGTAGATGTGAATATTTTTCAATTTGAGGGATTAGATGGAATTAACTTACAAGGTGTTGTAGGGGATTTTTCTTCCGGCGACTATAAATGGGTTGGGATGCCGTAAAGGGCAGATTGATGAAATTGTCCTCTGTGTCCGAGTTTAAAAATCAAGCCCAAAAAATGCTTCGAAATGGCAGTAGAGCCTTAGGAAGCATCTTGGTTACCTTCACCAATTGAAACAACAACAACTTACAGATGATTTCTTAATGCTTACAGATAAATTTTCTAGCTTGGCATGAGATGCTTATGGCATGGAAGCAAAATCAACATGAGTTTAACACTGAAGAGGAAATTATGATTTCTTGGGGAAAAAGGGGAGTGTTAAGATAAGAAAGAAAAGGTTTGCAAGAAGATTTGGCTGAGAAGAGAGAAAGAAAGAACAATGTTCTTCCGGCAGCTTGACAGATATTCTGTCATATGTGAAAGTGGTCTGCCATAAGAGGAAACATGGGGGAAAATGGTGAATAGTGCACGAAATTGCTGGGTTTTGCAAGTAAGAGAGGAAGCTTGCTCTCTGGATGTGGGTTGGTCTTATTGGGTAGAAGATGCCTCATTTTATAGTCGCTGGAAACCATCTCTTCCCAAGAAACCCTAATGGTTTCTTCCTAACTTGGCCAAGCTTTTCCTTCCTCTCTCCTCTCCCCCCTTGACTTTTTCTATCTTGGTGAAATTTCCTCTATCTATTTGCACAAAATCAGGAATTTTGGGAGCTCAAGGCCCCTTTTCCCGCAACTGTTCAGTGGGAAGCTCCATTCTTAGCTATTTTTCTTCTTTTTTCCTTCCTCATTCCTTGGCCAGATCTGATGAAGGAAAGCAAATGGGTGTACATGCTAGTTTGAAGGGTGCTCCTCCTCCTGGCAGCTTACGTGCTAATATCCCTTGGTTCCTCGAATGTTTTTTGCTTTGAAACTTGCTCCTCTCATGTGCTGGAACCTCCCAGCAGCTTTGTTTAATGAACCTTCAGACCTCTTCGTGGCTTTTGTTCTTCCAGCCAGGTGCTGAGGCCTTTATGTCTTATTTGTGGCAATTGCATGGGCCAAGGTGGTTCATTAAGTAAGTGGGCTATTTTTATTAAACGTTGGGCTTTTTGGTTGAGTCAATAAGCTATTTTAATTGGGCTATTGGGTTACTTTTTCCTCTTTTGTGCTCACCCACATGTTTGGGCCTAAGAAATGGGCTTGAGTCCCGAAGCTCCCAAGCAACCCGAGACTTTCCATTTCTCGGCCCATCAGTGGGCCTCATGTTGATTTATTACCATCCATACCACAATTCACTCAAGCAAGCCTCGGGTATTTAAGTGGCTTGGGGCCCACTTAAATTTGTGGCGTGATCAGGTGCGGAATAATAATTCCTTACTTGGCATGGCATGTCGCTTGACGTGCTTCAATTTTATCGTCCTTAAAGAGGGACATGGTGCTTAGTTTAGTATGGGCTTGTATTTTATAATATTATTTCAATCCTTGGCATGACAAATTATTTATTTAGCATGGCACGTGGACTATGACTTGTATATGACGAGCCTTCGTGTACTCCGATATGTGACTTTTCTTAATCCAGTATCGTATTGGACCGAAAACTTATTTGGGCCCAACCATGGACTTTTTTGGGCCTCAATAGGTGTTGATATCCTACCATTTTGTATGAGATAAGTTTTCTTCATAAGTGTGTCAAATTCTACTTTCAACTTGGACAACATTTCTTCATTTCTTCCTTCAACTTGCCAGCATGCCTTAAATATAATGATTATCCAATTCAATATAATTCTAGACACCAAACGAGTCCCAAGTATGTAGATGTGGTCCCATAAAATTTGGTTTAGACCTCAAATCGTACGCAATACCAATGTTAGCCATTTAAAAAAGAAAAAGAACCAGGCCTTTAAAGTTCAAAAATTCACAATGTGGTTCAATTTCCTTTGCGGTTGATGCTTCATTTTCTCCCTTACTAGTTCAGTATAATTCCTTGAATGTAATTCAACTTCTTCTTAGACCATCTCCAACCCATGTATTTTGGGGTGTGAAAATTTGAGAAATCTCAAATCTTGGGTGGAATTCTAGTCCCATTATTGCCTGGACTGATATTTTTTGTGGGCCCAAAATTTGCCTTGTTTTTTTCCCTAGCTGAAGCCCACGTGTTGAACAATATTTGCTCGGCCCGCTGGGAGTTTATGTTTGGACAGCAACTTTGTGCGAAAAAGCTGGGGCACATTTCATTATTGATGGACAACGACCATATTTTCAAAAAATCTTTTTTTTTTTTTTTTTTATTTTATAATTTTTTTTTTTTAATAAAACTATATTTGTTGGTGTTGTACTTGTTTTTATTTTTAAGTGAAATTCTATTATGTTTTAGAATTTAAATTTATTTCAAATATTCCAATAACTAATGGGGTTGCAGATCGTCTTGGTTTACTAACTCACCACCTTGGTTTAAAGATTATCTACTTGAGGATTGTCCTGAGAGTTTTGATGTTTGACTATCTTGTAATCTCTAACATATGTGGTACTCTTTCCTCTGATATTTTATCCCTATGGGTTTTCCTCAGAGAGGTAGGTCATCTGGTAACGATTTGATTATCAATTGATATATTATCTTCTTCTAAATACAATGATAAAGTGCTTAAATTCATCTCCTCCTTTCACCAAATAGTTCTACTCCAACCTACAAATATATAGTTTGGTTTAGTTTGCAATCAATAATAAAAAGCTCAAATTTATCTCCTTTCACTAGTTCAACACCACCACATGTAATATATGCGGAAGACATGATTAATATTTCCTCCTTTTAGGGAATAGTATCAATAAGTATTTACTTACATTATAACATGTGAACAAGTCATACCACGTGACTGTATTACCGCACTATAATTACTCGTAATTTGACTCAATTTTTGTTTAAATCCTTCTCACGTGTAGCACTTAAGTATAATCCGGGGCAAATTACAGAGACAACAATTTTGCAGTAAAGGGAAAAATCGATTAAAGTAGGTGGTATTGGCTTGAAGGTGCAACGTGACGATATACAAATGAACACCATAGACGACCAGTGACCAGCGAGAGACCACAAAGCGGAGGCAGAAGTTCTGCCAGAGGGTCTTCAAAGTGACATGCGAGCCCACATATTCAGCATAGTTGGCCTTAAGGCCTTCAATCATCCTCCAGCATCCATATTTATGGAACACAAGGCAGAAAACTAATGCAAAACAAAAAATTTTACGCATAGCAAAGCTGTTGAGCATGGTAGGAATTATATAAACCAAACAAAAATCATAGCATAAACTGCATTATTTGGCAATACGAAACTTGTATCATCTAGTTCACACGGCACACTATGCCTGCATAACCCTCAACCACATCACCCAATGGACGCTATAGTTTCTATTCATACAGTTCGCAGTACTTCAGCAATACCGACACTTGTATCGAATTAACAGGCCAAAATTAAATATCAACTATTAACACAAGATGACAGGCCCTATATCAGATTACGCACCCATCAACCAGATGTATACCCCAGCCCAAGATGCAAACAATCTTCTAGTAATACGGCATGTATCGAGCTGGCCTTCTGAACCTGGGAACCTTCCTGCAGATGTTTAAAGGGAAAATTAAGGACATATCAATCATCTCACTTAGACTAATTCAAAGACTAATACAAAGAAAGTAAGAGCTGTGAAACGAACTTTACCCATATCCATAGGGGGAGTAAAAGTAAGGAGGTACATATGGCCGCCTGAAGCGGTAACCCATATAAGGATTGAAGCGTCTAGGTCTGTATTGCTTCATACCAGGAACATTGGTCCTTTTAGGCAAAACCTGCATGTATTAAGCAATAAATTAACGAACATTATTGCAAAAATAATGAACAAGAACATCCAGGTCCAGCTTTCTGATGAGTTACCTTCAATTGCCGCCCATGCAACTCAGATTCATTTAGAACAAGAGCCTCTTGAACAGCTTCTGTTTCAAGGAATTCCACATAAGCAAAACCCTTTGGTTGGCCGAATTTATCTGTCAGTATAGTCACTCTGTTAACTGTGCCACATGATTGGAAATGCTGCTGCACTTCTTCAGGTGTGCATGCATAATCAACCTGCAAAATATGAATTATTCAGTTTTTGAAGCCAACACTGAGTCCAAAAAAGAAAAGCAAGTAAAGCTCAAAAGCACTTCTAAATAAGGTGTGCTAAGAAAGCATTTGAAGGTACTCTTCCAGGTAAAACATTTTTATCCATAGCACACAAAACATTGTGTCCATTAGACCAAAGAAAAGGACAAAATATATTGATTTCCTCTTGGTTTGGAGACCCTAAACCTTAAGTGCTATAAACATAGTGCAGAGCCACACACACAGACTACTACTATGAAATACGGAATATTTTTCTCAAATTAGTATTTTTTTATACAACCCTTTACCGTAGCAGTATGTCAAGCATGGCTCCCACTAAGCAGTTCCCCAATACTGATCTCTGCCTTTTACATCTTATTTTTTCAGACCCCCACTTGCAGAATTTTTCATATAGATAAACAGCAAATCTTCACAACTAGTATTAGTTGGCAATGGCACTTGATAAGCAATCTACTACTGATGCAACATCACCTTCTCTTCTCTAAATTCGTGCCACTTGGCAATGCATCCATCTTTGCCAATTCAGCTTGTAATAATAACCAAGTCATACCATTAGCAATCTACTTTTATGCAACATCAAACTTCTCTTCTCTAAAGTCATGCCACATGCTATGACAATATTGCTCTCTTTTAAGACTTGGGCTGTTCAGCACTTGCATCTTCCTCTTCTCTCCAATACCATGTTCCAATTTTCTTTTTTGCGGGAATGAATGTTTCAATTTGGTCTAGTGCTCTGCCAACATTCCAATGATTGATTAGTCCCTTCATGCCTGGGAACTCAAGAAGTTTGGGCTGACTGCATGCTACATTCTTAGCATTATTTTGATTAATCTTTTTTCCACGAGATTTGTTTTTCAGGAGATGAAAAAATTCATGAATAATTCTTATCAGTTTAATACAGAAAGCTGTTAGCCTATAACAGCTTGGAAAGGTTTAACATTCCTCTCCACTAAAATTGTCACATTGACAATATGCAAGGGCACACACGCATACAGATATTTGGATTCACCTTTCCCAAGGTGAAGTTATAAGTATTTCATCAGATAAAAATAAAGCGGATTTGCAGTGATCAGTCCATAATAAAGAACTCACAACTGAAAATCTTTAGTGAGATGTGAAAAGAGCAATTGAAAATCTTGCAAAGGACAAAGAGATCACAAAAACATCATGCGTGGAAGAAAATCATACTCAAGTAATATCAGGTAGTTTTTTTAAATTTAAATTTGGGTGAACGTAATTGACAAATAAGAGAATCAAGGCCATAGGGAAGCAGAATCATGTACCCCTCGCCACATTTGTACATGTGCACAAATTCCTGAGCCACAAACCAACACCATTCCAGGAGCAGCGAAGCTCTGCAAACCCAACTTTCCTTTGCTCTTCAAAATTTAAGCTGCTGCCCTCTTGTGTACTGAAGATGAAGCTTTTTAATTCACATCCTACCACTTGTCCCAGCCTTCTCTTAGAATATCTTCAGCAAAACACCCCTTCTTTCCTCCTCAATAAATCATATCACTTACAACTCACTGTTCTAGTTTCCAAATTTACTTTTTTTTTCAACTCTTTCTTCTTTTTCTTTTCACGCTTTTTTTTCACCTTCCCAAATTTTTTTTGTTGGGTGGAGACCTTAGATATTTTTTTCCTCCCATTTTCCAACTTTTGCATTTCTTGTTTCTTTTTCTTTTTCTTTCTTTAAATTACAACATGCAAACAACATTTTTCTCCCATTTAATGACATCCTAATTATACATCAGAATACTTTAACCCACCCTCAAACTACATTGTAACATGTCCAGTATACACAGAACTTGAGGAACAACAATGACCCTGCGATCATAGTACGACATAAAGTCAAACCATGACTCTGAAGTTGCATATCATCCACCACATAAATGTAAAACATAAACATAACTTCAGAGAATAACCAAACTACAAGGAGGACCAAAACCCTTTATTCCTCTTTGATATAATTTCTCTTTTCCTCCAAAGTAAAGTAAAGAAGAAAAGAAAAACATAACAGAGAATAACCAAACTGTAAGGAGTAACTAAAATCAAAATATCCTTCATGACAGATGACAGTGATTGTAACAGAAAACAACAAAGACATAGTATTACCGGATGCTGTGAAATAAACTCTTGTTAATCCAAAAATGGTAAAGCATAGGCAACTTACAAACTAGAAAAAGAACTTATGTAAGACAAAAAATATCCAACCCCACTTCAAAAGAGAACGGCATGAAATGTAAAAGCAGGGCAGCATGGCCATTAGGACAAGACAGGTCTAAGCTTAACACATAATGCAAACACTTATGTCAAAATAAATTTTCTTCTCATTTTTTTTAGGTGGTGTGAGGGAAGGGATGGGGGCAATAAATAAGGGACATTATTACTCACATTGCCAACAAAAACAGATCGTGCATCCACCTCTTCTTTGTTTGCTTGAGAAGCAGCCACAGCTGCAGGATCTGTGTGAAACAAAAAAACCAGACACATAGGTAAGTGAGGTATAACATTAGAAGAAAAAGTGTAAAACAAAGAAAGGAAATAGTGTCGAAGTATAAGAAAAGATAAATTAGCATTCATTGTCAGAAGAAACAAATTACAATGAGCATGTTACTCAAAAGAAGTCGAAACAAAATTCCTTCCACATATGAGAAAGCTCTGTGTAGCTCATACCGCAAATGAAATAAGATTTTAAGGTCCTCAGGACAATAAAAGTTCTGTAATTACCGAAATGCAGACAACATCACACTATAAAAAGAAACAATTAACAGAGTGCATAATGAGACCCTTGTGCTCTATTTTCTAGATTTCATGATATACACTAAAGCTTTTCAACAAACATAGTAATATGCACAATCCCATTACATCCCTTTGCCCCAACTTCGCACCAACAGCTTTGATCCCCGAGTCTAACTCTTTCAGTAACCAAGCATGGAATTTTAAAACAAATGGGAAGCCAAAAAATAAAGTTTGAGAATACATTTATATATAAGGGGTTCAAAAACCAAATTTTAATTTACTATTAAAAGGAGAGAGAGAGGGAACCTTGAACAGCGCCCATTTCCTTCTCAACCTTAGCCTGCATCTCGCGAAGAGCAGCAGCTTCCTCCTCCATCTCCTTCAAGCGCTTCTTCATCTCGTCCAACTCCTATAATATAAAATCAAATACACCAAAATCATTCGATATTTGGTTTTTATGATTTTGGTTTCTAAAACAAATCAATTGCTAGGGTTTTTGTGAGTACCTTGACGGCGTCGTCGTCGGCGGTGGACATGTCAACGTCCGCATGATGAGCTTCAATATCCCCCTCCATTTCTCCCTCGTCTGGGATCTCTCCTCCGTACACCTCATGCTCCTCCTCCTCCATTCTGTCTCTCTTGGAGCTCTGATTCCTACGAAGTTTTACGCTCGCGTCTCACTCGTATTTGCCATGGATTATATTCGGAGGCTACACCCGTAATACGATGTCGTATGCTTGCCCTATGCCTTGATTTTTTATGCTTTCTTTTTAAGGTTGGAGGGAATCTAACCTAATTAAAACTCATTAGCCCATTACTATTTGGGCTAAATCAAGGGCTTATGTAACTTACAATACAATACCGCTTATGTAAAAAATTGATTACATACAATACAATACAAGGCACATGACCAACATCAACGCAAAACATAAGAGCATTGGCAGCAAGGGGCCCAAGGGGAGGGTTGGGGGGGAGCAAACTCAAAATGTGGTTTCCAGCAACAAGAAGCTGCCAGGGCAAGCAATGGGGCCCACAAACCTGGGCTGGCCCGAGCTCCAGTCCGCGGGCTGTGATGACATCAGCGCTACTGTTTAAATTTTTTTAAAGCTAGCGCGTGTAATGCACGCCCCCGGTTTTAAAAAAATTTGACGCGCGCTACAGTAGCCGCCCAACGGCATGATTCCACGTGTCTGTTGTTGGGCTATCTGATCTGCTTTTTAAACATATCCAACGGTAACCATTTTTTCGCGAATAAAAAAATCGAAAAAGCAACCCCCAACGGCTCTATGCCATGTGGAAGCTCCTGGGCTCTCCGATTAGTTTTTTTTCCAGCAATCCAACGGCAGACAATTTTTTGCCCAATAAAAAAATGAAAAAAAATCGGAAAAAATTTAAAAAAATACGAAAAAAATACTGATTTTTTTTTCTTCTATAAATACCAACCAATACTCTTCACTTTTAACACCAACTCTTCATACATTTTCTTTTCATTCTACTATTTTTCACTTTCTAGTCAAATTTTTTTCACTTTCAAGTTGTTTTTTTCTCTATCATATTATGGGTTCTTCTAGTGAAACCGAAGGAGGGGCATGGAGCATGACGGAAGATATTAGCTTGTGTGAGGCTTGGCTCCAAGTTAGTCATTGTCCCGTAACGGGCAATGAGATCAAATTCTATCATATGTGGAAAAAAATTCATCAGGAATTTTGTGAAAAGGTAATTGGTTCGACCCGTATGGATCAGGAATTATCTAGTATGTGGAAAATTCTTAATAAAGAGCTAGTAAAATGGAGAGATGTCTTGACAAAAGCGATGAACAACCATAGAAGCGGGGAAAACCTTAGCAGTGAGGTAAATTATTTGTAATTTTTTTTTATTAATTTCTATGTCATATTAAATTTTATTTAAATGTTTCTTGCAATTTATATATTATGTTCATATTTCTTGTATTTCCAATATTAATATGAATGTTTCTTGCAATATTTATATTTTGTTTTGCATTTCTAATAAATGGTTAAAGTTTCTTGCGTTTCCATTAATTTTTTTAATACTTGTTGCAATGCCAATATTTTTTTTAGTTTCTTGTATTTTATACTTGTTGCATTGCCAATATTTTTTAAAGTTTCTTGTGTTTCCATTATTATTATTATTTTTTTTTATACTTGTTGCATTGCCAATATTTTTTAAAGTTTCTTGCCTTTCCTTTTTTTTTTGTGTATAGATTATGCAAGCACAAATGTTTTTTGGTGCTACTGGGCAAGGGAAAAAAAGTTTCAACCATACCCTATGTTGGGAGGTGGTGAAGAATTGTAAGAGATTCCAAATTATTCTAACGGGTCCAACGATAGTGTTGAACGAGATGCCACTCCATGAGACACCGACATCGGATTCACTTATGGATTCCCCGATGAGTCAAGACTCACCTATCGAAAAAGAGCCGAGGCCTATTGGGAGGAAGGCGGCGAAGGCGAAGAGAGGGAGTAATTCTACCAAGAATACATCTAAATATTTGGAGGAGCTTTCAAAGATGCAAGCCATGAGAATTGAAATGGATATGAAACAACAAGAGCACGATAGGGCAATGGAAGTAGAATATGCAAAAGAAAGGGAGTATGTACGCCAAGGAAAGATTGAAAAAAATGATCGGGAAACCATGGCTATGGATACAACCCATATGTCCCCCGAAACAAAACAATTTTGGAAGTTAGAACGAAGGGATGTTATGAGACGAAGACTTTTTCGTGACGATGGACCTAGCAACACGGATTGGTTAAATGATCAAAACCATTAAGTTAGTTTGCTTGCCTTTCATTTCATTGTACCATTAAGTTAGTTTGCTTGCCTTTCATTTCATTGTATTTTTTGTTTTGTTTAAAAAAGTATTTGTAATTCATGTATTTTATTTTATGAGTTGTATTCATTTTCTTTTAGTGAATGAAGAAAATATTCAACAACATTCCTTTTTATTCAAAACATTCCATACATAAAAAGCAACCCACAACCAAAGCATAAAAAATAAACAAACCACAACCAAAGCATAAAAAATAAACAAACCACAACTAAAGCATAAAAAAAACAACAAAGCATAACTAAAAATACAACATAAACATAATACATTAAAAACACATCTTCACTTTACTTTATTGTCCTTCATTGCCTTTCACCACCCACAAATGCTCCATCAAGTCCATTTGACGGTGTTCATGAATATATGACGATTGCATCTCCGTGTAGCGCTCAATCATCCGATGCATGAAACTATTGTCTATAACTAACGGATCATGCTGCACTGGTTCTCCATTTGGCCCCATAGGTTTTTCATAAATTCGTGTTAAGGCGGTGTTCATTGGATCTGGTTCATACTCATCTTCAGCAGCATTGTAATCATACTCATCTTCCACAATCATATTGTGGAGGATGATACAAGTCATCATTATACTCCTAAGCACCTCCTCATCAAATAGACGTGCCGCTCCCCTGATAATTGCCCACCGGGCTTGAAGGATACCAAAGCACCTCTCCACATCTTTTCTATACCCCTCTTGATAGGCTGCAACAAAATTTTCCTTGTGGGATCGGGGATGCGGAATTGATTTCACAAATGTTGTCCACCTAGGGTAGATACCATCAGCTAGATAATACCCGTTATGGTAGACGGTATTATTAATTTGATATGTGATAGTTGGGCCTTCACCTCTCAGAACATCATTGAACACCGAGGATTGATGACAGGACCCGCCCCGAATTTCCCGGAACCCGAGACGAACCCTGCAGAGACCCCGGCATCACACTCACGCCGGGTTTACTCCTTAAAACTATGTCCTCTTTTACCAGAGAGGATTTAGGGCACGAGACTTTCTGCCAAAATTTCGGCAGAGTCTCCCCTGTAAATTGAACATTCCCCAAAATTTCCACCTGCATAAAACACATTTTATAATCCAACCAACAGCACGCACAATATAATCTCATGCAATTTACATAAATGGCCTCCGGCCTTCAAATGATTCTAGCAGACTGCCCACATAGTTTTCAAAATAACTTAATGCATCACACATGCACATATCCAATTCAAAATCCATCCATACACACCTTCACTCACCCAGTCCACCGGACAAGCCTCAATTCAACCAAGTGTCGAGACCAACCACAGGGTCCGCATCATACTCGATAAAACCACCTAAGTGGGGTCTAATCTGTGGCTGCACCTAGTAACTTCAGGCTGCCTACGTACCCTACTAAGGGATCAAGCCACACGTGGCTCTTTCGTATCTATCCATCCTGGCTCCTAATATCAAATAAACCATTACCGCCACACAAATACATACATTCTAGGATTTATCCATCACAACACACCAAACACAATCACAATATCACCCCTCATACGACGGGACGCACCCGGCCTCTTATGGGGCCTGTCAACACGCCGGCTAATCCAAAGACGCGTGCGACCTCACACTGGGCCTGGCTACATTCTCACCAGCCCTCACACAATCATATCTCCCCTCATACGTCGGGACGCACCCGGCCACGTATGGGGTCTGTCAACACGCCGGCTAATCCAAAGACGCGTGCGACCTCACACTGGGCCTGGTTACATTCTCACCAGCCATCATACTGTTCACTTTGGCTTGGCTACATTCTCACCAGCCATTATACTGTCACTTGGGCCTAAACATAATCACAATATGGGGGGGGTACGTGGGGTAGTGCGTATAGCACTGTAAACTAACATTCAATCTCCTTATATATCATTATACATCCACACAATTAATTAAATATATCATATAATTTCTAATCCTACAATAACATCAACCAATAAAACATTCCATAAACTCCCACATTTAAATTCACCAATTTATATCCTAAACCCACAATATCCATTTAACTCAACAACGCTCAAGACCTGTCACTAAGGTCATCCTAACCCTCAAGGAAAGGTAAGACTATCTCGGGAGTCTCACGGTCAACCTAGGGTCAACATATTATAATCTCAGGACCATCCAACGGTCCAAACCTAGCGAACCCGGAAAATACGCGATATGCGATATCCGTTCGGGACTCTAACGGTACCCAAAATGAGATCCGAGCACACCTACTCGCTCGTGAGAACCAGGAGATGATTTTAGAACCTCGAGCCGGTCCATTTTCCTAGCCCACGCGCCGCCACACGCGCCGGCAGCGCGTGGGTGCCTTGAGTAATTTCAGGCAGCCGGAAAACTCCAAACCGCCTGCCAAGCTTCCTATCCTAGATGTAAAACCCTATTCTGAGCCACTTTTGTTCTTGGGCATACCCCAAAATCTGACCGGAAGTGGCCGGAATCTCCCCTCGAAATCCGGCCGAAATCCAATTCGAAAATCAGACATCCTACGCTCAAAATCGATGCAATCCTACCCAACCATCAGCTAGATCATGCAGAAGGGATGAATTTCCATACCTTGATCGCCAAAAATGGCGGCCGGACGACGGAGAACGAAGCCGACGATGTTTTGGGCGAAACCGAGCTTTTCTCTTCGATTTTCCTGCGAAATCACGGCGGCTGGCGGCGGGACCTGGCCAGGGTAGGAAGAGGACGGCGGCCCGGTCATTTTGGTACCGGCCCCGTCGACTTTGGTGGCCGGATGAGAGCACGGCCGGCCAAAACGTGGCCGGCTGTTTTAGCCGTTGCGAACAGAGGAGAGAGAGAGGGACGCGCGGGAGAGAGAGAGAGTCTGAGAGACGGGGGCAATTTCGTCTTTTTAACCAAAAACCTCTTTCAAAATATTTACGATTTTGCCACTAGTGATGTTTTGCCCGTAACTTCTTCGTTACAGCTCCGATTCGAGCCCACTACGTGTCTACGAACTCATCTCGCCGTGCTCTACGCAACGATACATCCGGAATTCCCAAATTCCTCCCGGGTAAGAAAATGACTAAAATACCCCTATCCCACGGGTAAATTCTTAATTTCGCTCAAATTAATTAAAACAGGGGATAAATTTGGAGTCGGGGTGTTACAATTGACCCAGGACGTTCAAATCATTTTAAGAACTGGCAACTCCAAAGAAGGCGTGCCAAACCCATGTATCAAAACCAGCAACTGCTTCGAGGATGATGCTTTTCTGCCCTTTCCGATTCCCATAATCCCCTTGCCAAGCAGATGGACAATTTTTCCATTGCAAGTGCATGCAGTCAATGCTACCAATCATTCCAGGAAATCCACAAGACTCAGCTTTGTGTAGAAGCCGTTGCAGGTCCCTGGGCGTAGGTCTGTGCAGGTAGTCCTTGGTGTATAGATTTTCCACTGCATCACAAAATCGCACCAAGCTCTCCAAAATAGTGGACTTCCCCATCCGGGCAATCTCATCCACCTGATCAGCAGATGACCCATACGCCAACATTCGTATCACAGCTGTGAACTTTTGCTCGGGAAGCAGCCCCAAATCTCCAGAACAATTTTTCTTTTGAACAAAGTAGTCATCATAATTGCAAATATCATGCATGACTTTATTGAACAAATGGGGTTGCATTCTATATCTTGCTCGAAAATGAACATCAGAGTACAGAGATTGTGGGATAAAATAATCTTCCATAAGATTCTTACCCCGAGAATGTCTATATCTGTCCACATTCGGTGCCCGGCCTTCTCGTGAACCACGGCGGCTTTGGTTTTCTTCCTCCAGCAAAGCAACGGCCACACTAAGTTGCTCATCTAGTTCTCTCTGCGCCCTTTTGCTTGCAGCTCTTCTACGCATTCTTGCTCGCCTTTCTCGCTCTTGCCTCTCCAAAACCTCTTCCATGTCGTCTGACATTGAGAATGGAGAATGAAATCTAAAATCTGAGAAATTAAATCTAAAATATGAGAAATGAAGATGTAGAGAAGATATGGTGTGGGAGGTATGAGCTGAGCCTCTTCTTTTATAGAAAAATTTAGGCAAATAGAGATGACACGTGGCGCAATTTTAGAGGGTGAAAATCTTATCTGAAATTTGAAATTCACATGAAATTTGAAATTTGAAATTTATCTAGAATTTGAATTTTGAAATGTATCTGAAATTTGACATTTTGAATTCATCTGAAATTTGAATTTTGAAATGTATCTTAAATTTATCTGAAATTTGAAACCGAAAATCTGATCCGATATGAATAGTATTGACACATAGGAACCCAAAAATCTTATCCGAAAATATTATCCAAATTAATTGTTTATGTAAACAAAGTTGTGAAAAAAACAAAAAAATAAATAGTATTTGCCATGGCAAGCCTTGCACTGCTGGAAACACAATTTTTTTTTGTGCTAGGGCAGCCACTATTCACGTGAATAGTACCCGCCCTAGGGCTCCCCTTGCCATGGCAAGGGGCTAACTGGTGGAAGTGCTCTAAGAGGACAAGGATGACATTGATGTGGGCTGCCATGGGCTGTAGCCCATGAAAGGTTTTGGAAAAAAAAAATTGAGTTTTTCTATTTAAACCCTGCACTTCTTTTTGTTCACCCTAACTTCTAATTTAAATTTTCACAATTTCTAAGAAAACCTCAATTTCTTCCTAAACACCCCTAAATACACACCCAGTAGAAAAAATAAAAATAAAAAACTCATCAACCTCACATCCTGCACTCCACACCCCACCATCTTACCCCCTCACCACTCTATGTTCACCTCAACCTCATATTACTTAAAGAGATAAAAACAATATTATATACAAATAGGAGGGGAAAATCCAACGGGGGTTAGAGGACATGATAAATGCGAATGGATCATAGGAGAAGCAAGCGGCGGTGTCATGCCCAAAACCCAGGGCTTTAAGACTGTATCACTGAAACCAAGTTCAGATTGATTCATATTATAAACACCACATTGTTGTATTCACTTGGTATTTTAACTAGTAGCAAAAAACAGTTTTCTTAACAACATTGGTCCTATCCTGTATCTTATATGTTTGGGGAAATTGACCCACAATAATATTATGCCAATTGGCTTTTAGCCACGTGGGATACAATCTTTGCTTCAATTCAAGAACTGTATTGTAGAAAACACAGAAAACCAAGAGAAAACATATGAAATTTTCTACATAAGAGAAACTAAATATTGAGATCTTCTGCTGTTTGGAATTTATATAACATAATTTCATATTTCAATTCCATATTTCAAAATGGGAAAAGAGGGTGTTGGTCATACTTTACTAGTTTGATAAAATAAAGGTGTAGAGGAATTTGTGTTTTTCTAAAACTTAATATGAAGAGTGGTGGGTGTATTTATAGATGTACTAGGGTTAAGTATCAAGTTGGATGACCTTTTCTGTCTTTTTACACAATAATAAAACTGAAGAGCTGAATGATTTAAGTATTGGGGTGAACAAAGAAAAGTGCGGGGTTTAAAAACTTAAAAATATTACACCTATATAGCCTAGTATCTTAACCTATATATATATATATATATATACAATTTTACCTTGTCAATACAAATAGACATGGTAAGAGGTATTCCACATTTGTATTTGGTGTCAAAAATTATACCAACATCAATTTTAATCTTTTTTCATTAATTTATCTCCAAAAGAGAAGCATTTTTCTAAATAAAATTCACCCTTTCATGAATAATATGGCTCTAATTCCATTTTTTCTTGTGTTTACAACTATCGTTGTTTATATGCTTTAATGTATACTTTTATTTATAGAAAAAACTATAGAAACTGTAAGCACCAAAAAAAAGTTATAATTAGATTTTAAGCTAATAACTTTAGTTAGCCCACCTGTTGAAAAATTCCTGGTTCCGCCCTTGATTGATGAAATTGAAAGTACATTACGAAAATGATGTGTTTGAAATTAATTGAAAGAATATCAATGATACCTTTTGGGACGCTTATTCTTGAGGGGGCAAAGGGGCCAAATGATTCTACACTTCGCCTCCGATTCCTAGAACTACCATTGGTATACCTACTACCAAAACTATTACAGCTTCATCTTCTGGGAATTGGTTTTGGCAATGCAACGTATAAGGCTTGAGAGCTTTCTCTTCTGGCAGCATGCCTTCGTCCTCTTCTCCCTTTCCTTGTATAATGTTATCTACTTTGGATAAGGCTTTTGGCACTCCAGGAGAATTACTGCAACAACAAAAAACAAAAAACAAAAACAAAAACAAAAAAACATTAATTTTGGAGTGGAAAAAGCTACTCCATTAACAATAGTTTGGCTTAAATTTTAGTACATTGAAGCTCCTTTCTCCCTGTCCATTGGAGTACATTGCTTGAGTAGGGTGGATTCGTTTCCTTGTTTTCTGTCCTTTTTTTTTCCTTCTCTTTTTAAAGGATAACCTATAACAATATAGCAGGCTGTTCTGATGGAATGTAATTCTAAGGCCGGAAAGTCCTTTGTAAAATTGCATTAAGTGTGTTAGGAAAAATCAGTAAATATCTTATACTATAGGATCACTATATTAATACACAACTCTAAAATGTAGACAGTAACAAAATATGAAAACTGTATAAATGTGCAAATATAAATTAAGTACAGAATATAGGGTGGGTGTATTTATTTTATTTTCAGGCTCGGTGTATTTCTTTATTTTTCAGAGACCCCAAGAGGCCTAAGGCCCAAGTCTTAATTATTTAAATATTATTATTAATCAAGCAAGCCAACCATGATAACCTTCACTACCAAGCCCATCAGCCCACCAATCTTATTTAATTGGTTTTAAGGTTTCATACTTATAAAGCATGTGGAACCTTTTGTTTTCTCCAATGTGAGACATTTGCTTTCAAACTTCCAACGAACTATTAGTGCAGAACCACCAAAAGAGGTTCTGTGGTGATCCCATTTGGATATTGAACTTGAGATTTTCCACTTACGTTAACGGAGCAGGAGTGGTCTTATTTCAGTGATAGAAGACCCTTTTTTTTTTTTTTTTTTTTTTTTTTGGTAGGTAACAAAAGGGCTAAGCCCAGACAACAACTAAATATAAATAAATCTAGCCCTTAAAAGGCTATCCATGTCTTCTTGGAGGACACCAGTAGTACCACTAGGAGGCAAAAAAAAGCAATGAATACTCATTTCCATCTCATGCCCCATCTTGGCCAGAGAATCAGCAGCAAAATTAACCTCCTTGAAAACATGAAAGATACTGCAGTCTCATGAACTTTTCCAACAGACTCTGCACATGTTAAGCAAAGTAAGAAGGGGGTGATTCGGCTCCAACTTGGCATTCAAAAGGTGCAAGACAAGAGTAGAATTAGTTTCAACAATAAGCTTTGTCAATTGCAACCTTTGAGTTAGCTTAAGACCATGATACAACGCCCACAGTTCAGCCACCAAAATCTCTCCATGACCCAAATTAGCAGAAAAATCTGCTACCCACTCACCAACAGAATTACGAATAAGGCCCCTAGCAGCAATAGAACCATTAGAACCAATTCTAGACCCATCAATATTCAATTTCATGGTAGAAACAAGGGGAGGCTTCCACGCCAGCAAAGTTTGCATCTTGAGTCTATGGACCCCACCTTTTTTATTAGTAATGTCTCATTCCACAAGAAACCTCAAAATTCATTCATTGGGCAGATCAGGATAGTGGAAGGAAGAGTCAAAGACAGAGCATCATCTTCATTTCCATATAAACCAGCAACCAGTAGCAAAAATATTGCACAATCTCCAGTTGAAAGAATTCACAACAGCAGTTTTCAGGTTTAAACGCAACTAACAATTAAAGTCAGTAGAAAGGGATACCTTAACACAATCAGGTAAGGAGAAAGAGTTCCATATTGCTTGAGCTCGAGGACAACGGATGAACACATGCTGAAGCGATTCCAAATGACAATGACAAAAAGGACAAGCTGAATTATTTGTCATTTTCCTTCTTGTTCTTTGCACATTTGTTAGAATTTTATTTTGGGATAATAGCCACAAGAGTAGAAGCTATATCCTCTGGAAAACATGGTATCAGAATCTTACAAGTGTGTCTAGGCTATGTGATGGGGATCAAGGTCAGGACGCAGGTCACCAACCACATACACGAGTACCGAAATTTAGGGTTAGTGCAAACTCACATATATCGTAGCAAATTCATGCCACAAATAAACTATTTCATTAATCATCAACATCAACTTCCCTACAACTATTATATTAGTCTTATTTATAGGCTTTACAAGACTTGGGCACCAAGGCTATTTGATCCAAAAGTAAACTAATTAATTATAAAATCACACATAAATAATAAAAGATATCCTAAAACTACCTAAATAAGAAAATAACAATATATCATGAAATATCTAATTAAATGGTAAATATCTAACTTGATCCACCCCTATGCTCCTGCATCAGACTCCCCTGGTTGGAAAGAATTCGTCCTCAAATTCAAGCCTTTGATTGAGGAAAGTCCAAATAGAATCTTCAATTGCTTTATATTAATTCATCTTTTAGCATCCAATTGAAACTTTCCTTTCCAAATAAAAAGATATTTGGAATATTTCGTTATTCTTGGCTTCTTCTTACTCCCTCTAACAATGCAAATGTTTCTCTCTAGAATCTTCAACCGATTGACAAAATCAACCAGATTTTTGGCAACCTTCCAAGTGAAAACATTAATGTCCTTATAATCAATAATATCTTCAAAAGTTTTCTCAATTCTCATCTCTTCACTGTTCTGATCAATAAATTGCTTATCAAAATTTCTTTGAACACCCAAACAATTTTCATTGCAATTTTCACAATTGCAAGGATCAAATATTGGAGGTAAATCCAAATTTTGATAACTTTGATGAATAACAAGATGAACCAAAATTACCAAATCCATTATACCTTCAAAGACACAATGAGAATAAATGTGTCCCTCTTCACTTGACTCACACAACGAATCACAACAATGAAAAGGGTTATCTCCCTCGTACTCCCTGTCGAGACTCTCACGGCTTAGAGTGTCGATGCGAGCTACTTGGTTCAAATAAGGGTTCACACATCCCTTCCCGTCAAACTCTTACCTATATGAGTTCGAGCTTCGATGCGAGCGATGAGTTTTGTAAGTTGCCGTAGCATCCTCCGAATTTCCTCCATGTCATTGTAGTTGTCAATATAACCTTCCATCCCAAAATCTCCCCGAGAAAGCAGATCTTGAGTCGTAGCTCTAATATCAATTGATAGAGATTGAGGACAGGATGCAGGTCACCAACCACATACATAAGTACCGAAATCTAGGGCTAGTGCAAACTCACATATATCAGATCAAATCTATGCCACAAATAAACTATTTCATTAATCATCAACATCAACTTCCCTACAACTATTACATTAGCCTTATTTATAGGCTTTACAAGACTTGGGCACCAAGACTACTTGGTCCAAAAGTAAACTAATTAATTATAAAATCACATATAAATAATAAAAGATATCCTAAAACTACCTAAATAAGAAAATAACAATATATCATAAAATAACTAATTAAATGGTAAATATCTATCTTAATCCACCCCTATGCTCCTGCAGCACTACGTTTTGGATCTTTTCTAGCGCATATATATAGACTATAGTGTAATTTTATTTGAAATTTCAATTATACCCACCATGCCTTTCCAAAAAGTTCACAGAGAGGCTTGGAGGATTGATTCTCTGTGATCTATTAAGAAGAGTGCTTGGGAGTACCAACTAAGAGAGCTTTGATAATTGGTACAAAATTTTCGGTGGTCTTTATGATTCCCAGAAACATGAGCCTATAAACAATTACCATCCCAAACAAAATGGCAAGATCAACCCACTTGGAATAGCCCATCTGCACTTGCCAAATACTTCGCAATATTTCTTCGCCAGTAATCGTGGATGGCCTTGTTGCTTGCTCATTAGGAAATATTAGTCCTTCAAACTCATTTTTATAGAATCCTTCATTTGCATACTTGTGGAATGCAATGTAGTACATTGGGTATCGCCAGAAAGGCTTAGGAAGATCGTTCGGCAATCGGAAGAAACCTCCATTCAACATCATCACTCCTTGAATTCCGGCACCAGTAATAATTCCCATGAGAAAATCTGGCACAATGCTTGCCACAATCATCATTAGGCTCTCAACCAACATCATGGTCACAAAGAGCAGCAGTGCAAAATAGGCAAAGTGCTCAAAGCTCTTTTGAAGGCCAACCATGTAGTAGGCTATTGCTCCAGGAATTAAAGAGATGATCAGCAAATATGGGATGGAGGAGAATGTGTTTCCAACAACAAATGCCGAAACACCATAGTGCCCGTTTAATCTTTCGCGCCCGAAGATCTGGTTAGTAAGACAGGAAAAGAGGTCAGATCACCACAAATGCTCAACAAACCAGGACATGCATCAACCAAACTGACTAACCTTCATGTCTTCTACAAAAGAAGGGAAGCCACCTATTGCCATGAAAGTCAAGAATGCTGCAACAAACATGAGCATTGCACCTCTAGCCTGAAAATTCAGTTATTTTGAAGCTATTAGATTATACTGACAGGCTAATCTGTGTGATAACAGTAGAGAAATATATCACTAGGATTCACCTAATTACCTGTATTGAGCCAAAAGTGGAGCCAATGTCATAAAAGATCGTCCCTATGCATAAGCACAAGGCAATGTAAATTGCAAGGCGAAGCCAGTAGTAGCCTAGATCACGATACATGTTCACGAAAGATCTCCTTGTCAGAACCATGCATTGGGTTATGAAGTTGGCCTGGCTTCCCTTCTCTAGAGCCCCACCTTTCTACAAAACAGAAAAAAATCAAGCTATGTTTTTTTTTCTTCTTCTTTTTTTTCTTATTCTGTGTTTGATCAGCTAATGCTTAACCTTAAATTTGAACTACTCAAAACCATAGGCTTATTTACCTGTTGGCAAATCTCAGCTACTTGTTTCTGAACTTGCTGGAAATTATTTGAAGACTTGTATGATTGTATGAGAATATTAATTGCTTCCTCAGTGCTTGTTTTGCCATCAAACCCTTGTTCGATATCCTAGCGTCAATATTCAAGGTAAGTTTTTGTTTTTATTTTTTGGTTATTGGAGTAATCATAAGTTTATCCAATGAAGCTAATTGCTTTTAAAATGAAGGGATTACTGTTCTCAGAAGACTTACAATATCAAAATCCTTGTTAATGGTTCTAAGGTAGTGATCTGCTGGGTTTCTCAGAGTAGGGCAAGGGAAGCCATTTGAAGCAAAAAACTGCACCATTTAGATTGGCACAATTATTTAATTGGTCATAAGAAGTAAACTTATTTAAGCTGATGAAAGTCAGAATGATTCATGGTTGCACATTCATTCTTCAAATAAGCTAATACCTGTTCTGCCATTGAAGCAGGGCCAAAGTAGACTGTTCTACCAGAGGAGAGAAGGCAAAGGTTTTGGAAAAGCTCAAAGACTTCACTGCTAGGTTGATGAATTGATGCAATGACGGTCCTTCCATCTAGGTGCGCTAGCTTAACAATGCGGTTCATGACATGGTAAGATGCTGCACTGTCTAGCCCACTTGTAGGCTCATCAAGGAAGAGAAGCTTGGGGCGAGTCAAGATTTCAATGCAAATGCTAACTCTTCTTTTCTGTCCACCACTGAGGCCTTTTACGCTCCAACCGCCAATCCTTGTGTCCATGGAGTCTTGCAAGCCCATCTCCCTTATTGTCATCTCTGCTCTTTCCTTCTTTTCTACTTTGGACATGGAGTCAGGCAGTTGGAGTTGTGCTGAGTAATATGCAGCTTCCCTGACTGTTAATGTAGTCAGTAGAGTGTCGTCTTGAGTCACGTATGCCTGCATATCGATAAATCAAACACATCAATTATTATTGACCTTTCCAGGAATAAGAGAGGATCCAAATTCTTATTTCCTACAAGAGAAGTTAGAGAACACTTTGATATGAAAAGGAGAAGTATTGTACATAAACCAGATTTCGGGCAATCGGAAGGTTCAGATGGCAATCAAGAGGATTTCACATTATGGTGTGAAGGTTTGGTTCATTACAGTGGATTGTATGTGATTAGATATGCATATATAATGTGTTCCTTCCTTCACTATTCTTACCGAAGTTCCAAAAGCAAGTGTTTCTCTACGGCCATTGATTAAAATCTCCCCTGTCTGCTGTGTGTCTGAACTTAGCCTGCCTGCAATATTCAAATGTTTTTCAGCAGTATTTTTTTTTATGGAATAAAGAAAACTTCACAGCTGCCAAGCTGACTTTATCAAATAATTCAAATTAACAAAAAGGTCAACGAAGAGAAGATTTGTACGGGCTCGTTTGGGACTGCTTATCTAGAACACACTTATGGTCATAAGCGCATCTAACAAAACCGCTTTTATTATAAAAATGTTAAAATTTTCATAAGAAATCCAGGTGCTTCATGGAAAAGCACTTGGGGATTACTTCTCGAATAAGCACATAACAGGTGCTTCTCCTGAAAGTGCTTATATGATCCATTTTTGGTTGTCAGAAAGCATTTTTAGCCATTTCAAAAGTACTCCAAAAAAATACTTTCAATATAAGAAAATAAATTAGAAATTGGGAGCTACCTGCCAAAGCATCCAAAAGGGTGGATTTGCCAGAGCCAGAAGGACCCATGATAGCCAACATCTCACCAGGTTGAGCAAAACCTGTAAGCTCCTGCAAAATCATTCTCTTCCCATTTTTCCCATCAGATACACCAACCCACAGGTCCTTCCATGTCAAGCAAATACCCTTCTTTCTCAACCCAATTTCAATATCATCATCAACAACGTAACTTTGATCCTTTCCATAGCCTGGCTTCGCAACCGTTTGATCAATCCCTACTGACTTCTCCACCGCAGATTCCAATCTCAGAGATGGGGCTCCATGAATATCTAAACCAGAGTTTGGAGCAGCTCCAGTTTTAAACACAATGCTAAATGGGAAAATTCTGTCCATGCTAGAGCAGGACAAGGAAATCCCATCTTCTGCAGAAGTTGTGCTGCTTTGCATTTTCATCCCTCCATGACTTTCCTTGGAGCTGGGGCCTTCCACAGCTGATGCCAACAACGATCTTGTTGGGCTTGGACTTGGCGTCCATCTTGGTACATTAGCTGAAGAACTCAACTCCATTCCAAATGGTTTCAAGTAAATCTGAAAAGGCTAACTTCAACTCTAACTTCTCAGTTTCTTGGTATTTAAAGTATTTCCAAATGCTTGACAAGTTGTGAGCTATGATCAGCTGTAGCCTGCAGCTTGCCGCCGTGGGACCAACACATTTTCTTCTCTTATCTTTTGCTTAGCAAGAAAAATAAACTTGTTTTGTTTATTTGTGCAGCTAAAAAAGAATGAATAAAACCACATGGTTTATTGCAAATCTAAGTCCTGTCATCAAAGACAAGAGCGTGTTCTACGTTCATACATAATCTTCGGTTGCTTGCTTGGACTTTTGATGATTTGAACGCATTAATTTAGTTTTGTCCTCTGTTAATTCCATTGATTTGGTGAATATTGGCAAGCCTGCCAACACCCATCCAAAAATTTATTGTCATATCTGTTCTTTCCATTTCAGGTATGGAGGTAGATTGCTATCTATATATCCACCTTCCATGTAAATGTGCGTCTTCATTGCATGTACTGTACTTACACAAGAGCTACTGTTTGAGTGTGTTTATGGTCATTTCCATATGTTCTCCTCCAACTAGCTATTTCATTCTATTGAATTAAGCCATTTGACTAAAATACGACCTAACGACCTTATGCGTATGATAACTGCTATTAACTACTTGAGTTACAAACTCTTATACCGATAATTTTTTTCTTTATATCGACGGTTAACCCTTAGAAGTATCTGATTAATACTAACACAAACTAATAAAGGGGGTTAGTATTCAATTGTAGCCGCCTGGTGATTCAATAAGAGCTTAATAATCCAATTCATCATACAAAACCACATGGTAAAACTTCATCTTTTCCAAGAGAAGTTACAAGGAGGATCATCTCCTGGCAGGCCGATCCGAAGAGGTCCAAAGCAGAGTTTTGAAGCAATCATTGCAAATCGTGTAGATTGATGAAATACGTTTGCTCATAATAAGTTGGTTTGTTTTACTATAATAAGGTGGGTTGAACGCGCGTTTCAAACAAAGCATGCGGCATGCCACAAAACTTGCGACCATTGCAATTAGTTCTTTTGGCACCTATGTATAAATGGAGGCCGATCTTCTTTTTTGGTCGAATGGGAACTTGGCTGGAAATAGCAAATAACTTTTTCATTTGGGTTTGGTCTTAACGAGGAAGAAATTTGTCTGCATGTGAATCAATAATAAGTGTAAACAATTAGCACACGTGAGTTAGGTTAGTTGGTCAGAGTAGTGAGTCAGTCCCTTTGCATTTAAGTTCAAGTCTCCTTTCTCGTAGATTAGAGTAATTTAGATATCACTTGTATAAATAAATAAATAAAAAGTATAGACAATTAAAAACTTTGTCATTTTTGTGATATGTAGGAACAATTATCGCTAGCAACAATGAACAAAAAAAGTCTTGTTTTTTTGTGATGGAAATGTCATTTATATGTTAAGGATCACTGTTTGAACATTTAAGGATAAAAGGACTCCACATTCAATGCTACTATGCATGTTATGTGATTAGTCTTTTTTCTGTTAGCAACTCCCAAACCATTGGTACGAGAAAAATAAAGTTGTCTATTTAAAGCAAGGAGAGGGATATGAAGTTTTATAAATAAAAAAATTGAGGCTTCAGGTGGGTTAAAATGTTACTCTTGGACGATTGGATTGAATCCCTCGACACACACCCTAAACTCCAGGTGGGTTAAAATTAGGAAACAAAATTTAGTCCTTTGTTGGGCCAGAAAAGGAATTTCAGCTTGTATTTTGGACAGAGTGCAGGCCCAAGCCCAGATAAGAAAACCCATTATCTTTTTTTTCTGTGGTTCGAAAGTCTGGACGAAGCGACAAGTCGTTTTAAGTTTCCGAAGAAAGGAGGGCTTCGGCGTGACCGTCAACCAGCCAAAACAGACAACTCACCCGAGACATACGCTGTCTGACACCGCGCAGATCAATCATGGACAACAAGTACCCTGTTTCACACTGTTCCTTCTTCCCCGAGCCCACTACCAACCCAACCAATCCCAGACCTCCACGTCACCACTTTGATCCAACCCATCCACTCCCAACAAGCGTGTCACGCTCTGGTTGGTCAGCTCACAGGCAAGGCAATGGGGGTGAGCACATTTAGACTCTAACATGATTGCAAGCAGCAGCAAAAGGAAAAGTCCTCGTCTTTTGGGGATTTCAATAAATTTGAGGCCTTTTTGAGGTTTTGATAGCAGAAGTAGCGATCTGGGATTATTTTTACTTTACTGGGTTGGGTGGAAAATGGCGAGTGGAGGAGGATATGGAGACTCGAACCAGAAGATAGACTATGTGTTCAAGGTGGTGCTGATAGGAGACTCTGCAGTGGGCAAGTCTCAGATTCTGGCCAGGTTTGCTAGAAACGAGTTTAGCTTGGATTCTAAGGCCACCATCGGCGTTGAGTTTCAGACCAGGACCCTTATCATCGAGCACAAGAGTGTTAAAGCTCAGATCTGGGACACTGCTGGCCAAGAACGGTCTCTCTCTCTCTCTCTCTCTCTCTCTCTCTCTCTCTCTGTGTTCTCTTTCTGTTTTCTGTAGCTTATAGCCCTTTTCTTCCATCTGCTACATGGGTTTTATGATTTTGAAAGTTTGCAGCAGCTCTACTCTGCTTGATGGGTTTTTCAGTTCTAGTATAACTTTTTAGGTGTAGCTTTGTGTAATTTTTTTTTTCTGGGTTAATTTTCTTTTGAAGTATAAGGGGGATTACATTCTGTGATGCTGATATTGGTGTAAGTGGATTGCTGATAAAATGTTTCATCTGTATGCTAGAATTGAACTGATTGAGATTATTAAACTGGGGAAAAGGGGAAGGAAAAGTAGGAGTAAGATTAGTAGTTTGTGATGTTGTATTACATTTTCTTATTACCTAAGAATATAGATCCATGTTTTTTTATCTCATAAATGCACTCCACTCAAATGATTAGATACTTTAAACGCTTTTCAAATGCATAGAATGAAATTAGATACCCTCTCTTTATGTGATCCATGCATTGCTTAGTTGTAAATACCGGCCACTAGCAATATGCTTTTCAAAGATATGAATTTGTGTTGGATCCATATCCTACTTTTGGTGCCTTTTTGGCCGCCTTGCAATCTTGGATGTTGTGATGGATGATACAGCGTGGTAAGAATTGTTACCCTTTTTAAAATGATGTGCCAGATTTTGAGTTGATCTATTTCGGGGTGGGAATGGATGATTACATGGGTGAGATTGTTGTCTTTTATAGGATGAACGATTTTGGATAAATTTATTGTTATCTTTGTTTAGTATCAGATGGTATGTGCTTCTCAGTCTTATGCTATCTTTATGAGCTACTATCGCATAAGTTAGAGTAGTTGGAGTGTTGGATTCTATATGACTTCTTTCATCACTGGTTGAACTACGAAGCCAATTAAAGGAGTATTCATGACCCAAGTTGGGCGATATGTTCACACAATCATATGAGGCTCGGCTTTTGCTCCCTTTTGCATAAACAAGGATTTCAATGTAACTAAACAAAGTACATCATTTGAAAAGAAATTATTATTGGTTGGAATGTAAATTAGGTGGGGTTAGAAGCCTTCATTCTTTGCTGTCACTTATTTACTTTCACGCTATGGAATAATCTTCCCACCTGACTCCTGTTAACTTTCACAAATGGTGTATTGGCAACTGATTATTCTACTTCTCTTCTGGTGTTTTGAGCAGATATAGAGCAGTTACAAGTGCATACTACAGGGGCGCTGTTGGGGCAATGCTTGTCTATGATATAACCAAACGCCAGAGCTTTGATCACATACCCCGTTGGTTGGAAGAGCTGCGTAGCCACGCCGACAAGAACATTGTCATCATTCTGATAGGCAACAAAAGTGATCTTGAGAACCAGCGTGCAATCCCCACAGAAGATGCCAAAGAGTTTGCTCAAAAGGAAGGACTTTTTTTCTTGGAGACCTCGGCACTGGAATCAACAAACGTGGAGTCTGCTTTCTTGACTGTGTTGACAGAGATATTCAACATTGTTAACAAGAAGAGCCTGGCTGCCAGCGAAAATCAAGCTAATGGCAACCCTGCATCTCTGTCTGGTAAGAAGATTGTCATCCCAGGCCCTGCACAAGAAATCCCAGCTAAGAGCAAGGTGTGCTGTACATCGTGATTTCATTGGACCATTGATTTCTAAACACGGATGCTTGCTTCTACATTCTTAATACTAGCAAATTTTGAGGGTTGTGATATATTTCCTTTGTATATTTTTTACATTGCTTTAGTTTAGTTTGTATGAGCTGATTAATTGCTTGTTTGAAATGAAGCTGATTTGGGTTTGCCTCTTTATGATCTGTTCTTTTAAGTATGAATGGTTTTTACTCAAACCCTACTCATCACTGTGTAAGATGCGTCTATCCTTTGATGTCATCAAGAAGACACCAAATAGAAAGGAGAAACTCTAACCTGAAGCAGAAAAGTCACAAGAACAATCTTCTTCCCTCTGCAGATTCTTACACAAGGATGATTGGATGGCTACGGTTTCATTTATTAAAACTTGTCCTTTTGACACATGCTTTGCGCCTGTCAATTAGCTCTCTCATGTAGTCTCCGCATGGCCGTACTACAATACCATTATATAATTTCTTCACGTGGGTGTGATTTGTTTAATATTATCCTCATTTACAGAATGGTTTCATTTCTTAATATTTTCATTAATTAAAAACATTTTTGGAGTTATGAATGTCCAAAACAAGAAAAATGAAAAATAAATAAAGAAAACTTATTTGAATGTTGTGAGTGACTTGAATATATATATATATATATATATATTCTTTTGTGGAGAAAATTGGTTAACCAGTTCTACAAGCAGGAGCACGGTTTAGTGTTTTCTTTTGGAAAGGATAACATATGAAAAATATACATAGGCGATAATTACATATAAAATGCTAGTGATTGTTAAGAGGAAGACACTAGCGTCAATCGCATATGGGCTCGTAAAATAATCTCAACCCTCTCAACCTTGATGATTGTGGTATCATACATCAGTGGGCCTGTCAGCGATATCTGAGATTGCATCGGCCGCCGGGACTAACACTAACACTTGGGAGCAATCCATTCACAAGGAATAACAGTTCTTGTAGCAATTTCTGGGCAGCATGATTACATGCCAAACGCAAATATCATTGGTTACACCATACGAACATGATTCCAACCAGCAATGATGATTAAGAACACAAATGGAGATGATTAATATACTAGATCAAAATTGCTCTGTTCTCAAGATTATGCAACAACTTGATGAGGCAAAATACAAAGATGTCTTCCATGCTAAAATAAGAAAATCCAATTTCGAAGAAATATTAAAGATAAAATGAAGTCATGGCATATCAATTACAACCCCTGTATTAAATTATGAAATTAGAGTACAACAATGGAAATCTGGAAGCCCAGAAGTTGTCGCTTAACCCTCAGTTTCCAGTGTGATACTTTCCTCGTCACCATTCTTTTCCATATCCTTTATGTCCTGTTCCTCATCCTCCTTGGCATTAGAGGCTTTGTCTTCCTTCTCCGCAGATCCCTTCTCGGTTTCCATGCGCATCAAAAGCCTTTCTAGCAGTTCTTGGCAGTCAATTGCAGTGACCATCACAGACAAACTGGACTTACCTTTCCAGCATCCAATGGCTATTGTTGACTCATCTACTTCAATGGAATCCGACGAGGCTTTGCCATCTGCAGATGTAAAATTTACTTAGGTTAAAAATTATACACATGAATATGCACTAGTTGTCCTTGACCACATGCTGCTATGTACCTTTCCTCAAAACTATTACACAGCATCCTGACATTAAGCCCGATGCTTTCTGACCGAGCTCAGCATCTACAAAATCTGCAAACTTGATACTTTTATATTGAAGAAGATGCTTAAAGTCCACCGGGGATGCATATACAATCTGTTTGGTGATGTATGGAAGAATAAGTGGCAATCCTTCTGATGATATCCGAAATGAACAAGGAGCCAAATTTCCTTCTCTTGCAGTTTGTCGTTCCTGTTGAGAACAAGAAAAAATTAGGGAGAAATTGCTTCCGAATATTGGTAACACCAGATTGTCTAATATTTTGTTCAACAATCAAGGGCTGTACCAGAATATTTAGCTTAAGAGCACGAGGAACAAAGGATGAACTTATAAATATAACTACAAATTTGGAATCCAGCACTCACAATATAATAAGGTTCAAAATAACTGCACTCAAATATATTCTTTCTAATATATCTCATATGCTTTAGTTTCTCATTTAGGAGCATTCCATCATGGGTGTTCTCCTCTGTATTATATTTCTTATTTTCTTTTGCCTTACAGATATTCCTTTGGTTATTTTGCAGTAGCTCTTACACTCCACAAGGGAAGCTAAGCAAGAAGGATAACCCTGTAAACAGTTCTCTTGATCATTATCTTAATTTTACACACACTACGATATTAGCAAGTGATCAACTTATCTATAGGCATGAAAGTTTTGCACAACTTTCTTTGCCTATGTCCCTATAAATTAGGAGCAACATTATTTTAAAAGAAATATAAATCAAATTTATCTGTGAAAATACTTACAAACATCTTTAGCCCAATGGAGGTTATCTTAAGTTGTTGTCCAACAGAGAAATTCAGTTCAAGAACATCTTTGACTGACTTTGAGACGTAGTAAATTCTCTTCACATGATTAGCATCACTGTTTCTTGTGACAAGGTGGCCATTAAAGGGAAATGATTCATCAATGCCATAGAATGTCTTTATGCTATTGATGGTGGCTTCATCTTTAAAGAAAACAACAGGGTCAACACCTCTCCACTTGCCTTGAGTCTGCAACTTCCTCTTTCCTCCAGCTTTCTTGGGATCAATTTCCTTATCACTAGGCGCTTGGGCTTCCTCTGATACATTTACATTTTCTTCACATGTAACGGATGGATCAAGTTCCAAAGAATCCCCATCTAGTTCATCCTTTATCAACTCTGCCTCTGAAGCTGCTTCAGAAAATGTCTCATCTGTACCATCTGCCAAACTAGCCACAATCCCATTTGTATCTTCAGTACTCTGATTTTGTAATTGTACCTGTGGCTCATCATTCCTAGGGCCCAATTCCCCTTCCAGACTATTAGGTTTTCCCTGATTGGCTGCTCAATAAAAGGGAGGAAAGAGGAACTATATTAAAAATAATAATAAATTCAATAAACTGGAATTCTCTTATGAGGAAAGCCAAAGCAGAACATGGCAGCACAAGACTTGCTTCAGATCCTAAACAAAGTACAGATCTCACATATTGCAAATGACACAAAACAGAGACAAGTTTCCTCTATATGATGGAAACAACGGATTCATACTAAAGATGAAAATAATTATAATTATAAGAGCTAACATTTTAGCACAGGTACACTACCTCAAAGCACTTCAATTCTTAAGAAAGATCCAATGACTAGGTAGATACTTGAACTCACCTGGCAAATCAGAGCGTTTGTGGAAGACAGCAATGAAGAACGCTCCACCATTTTGATCATGCGGCACTATCCTCATGCAGCGTTCTAGTGGAAAATCAGAAACTTCCTCATCTTGTTCATTGGCTAGAGTTGCAGGATCATCACTTGACTCCAATGCATCTTCAGCACTTCCATTTCCACCATTCTCATGCTTTTCTTCCACTTCCATACTACCATTATGATCCGTTGGTTCTGTAAAACTTCTTCCAGAAGGAAACATGCTGGGAACAATGACAGATTTGCGATATTTGCTGACATTTTTGTGGGAAACTAACCACCTACCCTTGTCACGTACCTGCATTGCCAAGTGATTGAATATTGATTTATACACTGAACAGAAAACTCTAAAGCTGCAACTGATGCAACTCAGTAGGTGATGTTTGAACAATAATTTAGACCACTATCTTTAGAGAATTAGCTTTCCATGCTATGAGATAGCTATATATTTAAATTTGATGCATTCGAGACAAGCAAAAATCAAAATGTAGACCCCACTTATACACAATCAAGCAGCCAGGTAGTAAAAAATGGTTTCACCTAACATTGATGTGATGGATAGATTGCAATACAATTTCTTAACCCCTGCAGGTTTCAGCAGGAGAAATAATGGCTATCTATATGATATCTTCTCCTCTCTCTTGTTTTGACAGGTAAAAACCAATTATTTATAGCGAAGATACCTTATTACATTGACGATGGTGTTATATGAACACACAACGCTTAGATTAAATTTTTATAGAGCACCAATGTAATAAAAGCACTACAAATGATATCGGAATCCATCCTATTTGGTAATTGACAAAGAAACCCACACTACACAAACCCGGGGAACAGTTGTATTCAATAATATGATTTGCACATCAAACTTTTAACAGTAAGCACTAGCAGACAAAGGTAAAACTAACAACTAACCTTCCACTTTTTAAGACCTGGCCGCCGAACAAGTTGAGGAAGCTCACTAGAGACATCAATAAGCTCAACAGACCCTTCACATTTCCGCAAAATCTGCAAAAAATTGAGACATGGTCAAATAGGGTCAAAAGACCACAACCCATGCAAAGTCACAGGACTAGAAAAAGGAACACTTTCTCCAAATAAGAAAAGTCATCCAAACAAAAGAAATATGAAGCACAACAAAAAAATGATGTGACTCTGCAACAAAGGAACTTGTTCACATATAAAACATACATATATTAACGGCTAAAATATAAATCAGAAATAATATATGTCCACATAGATAAATCAGAAATAATTTAGAAAATCAATTAATCATGTGTGGATCAACACATGCTCCAACCCACTGAACAGTTGGCAAAAGGTGAACAATGATGAGTCAAGAGAACCAAAAGAAATAATAATTGTATGGTTAACATCCAATGGTTATCTATCATGGCCTACAAGCTCTCTTCATATGTAAGGATAAATCAAGCTGTTGTTGCTTACAAATTACAATCTTTGAACAAACCATGCCCCAAGTTAAATATTTTGTTTCGAGCAATGTAGCTATATCGATACAAACTTTTATAACAACAATGGCATGATACAAATATTATACAAAACAACATCTATATAATAATGGAGAAGAACTACGAAGCCACGTTTTCAAGCGATCACAAAATGAAAATAAATTAACACTATACAATTTAATTTATGAAAGACCACGCAACTGCACAGAGAATTACTATTTACCAAAATGTTAATTCCACAGATCCAACATCTTTTTGTGTGGAAAAATAACCAAACATATTACCTCAGCAATCACAGCCTCATTCTCAACTGGATTCATGGAGCAGGTAGAGTAAACCATTCTTCCGCCAACTTTAAGCAAAGATAAACCTAGAATAAACAATATAACCTCAGCTATGTTTGGTATGACCACATGAAAAGCATTGCATTGAAAGTCCTATTTTTACTGATTGACCACACCAAGAAATCCAAGTATTTTTACTCAAAATCAGAGAGTGGCAGAGAATGAGCAAGTTTGATCCAAAACGGCATTAGTTTAATGCCAGAATTAATCATTACAAAGTTTATATATTCAATCAACAAGAAACATATAAACTAATGTATTTAAGAAATGGTATGGCTGCCATCACCATCTTGTAGGAGAACAGAAATAATATCCAGAAAAAAACACATCTGGGCTATACATGTTTGATGTTTCCAGATTATATCCTCATCGTTTCAAGGAAATCCAAATATGCACATGGGACAGTATCTATGGGAATAAAACCACGAAGCATAGAGCCATAAAATTATATAGAAATTCAGAGAAAAAGTTTTGCATCAAAGATACCTCGCATAGCTATCTGAACTTGTAGAGGATGGACCCCATTGCCCAATCCAACATGCCTGTAAATTAGCAAAACAAATATCATCAACCTGCCAAAAGAAAATGTGATTGAAAATAAAAGTTCTACCATTTCCTCCAGATATCAGGAGCCTTGCGAAGGGTACCATCACCACTGCAAGGGACATCACATAAAACACGATCAAAGACAAGTTGGCTGATGGGTGGCTCCTTTTCAGCTCCTATTTCAGAAGCAGTAGAACATTTTTTTTTAAACGGCATCCAGGAAAGTGCTGAGCTTCATGATTTGTGACTATCAAGTTAGCTGTGCACATTCTTTTTGTTTGATGGATGAGTAGATTACATCTTTGGACGTCAAGATCATTTGCTACAACCTAATCAAGGGGACAATAAAACTAGGCATCAATGTCTTAGAAGGTAGCAAAATGAGGGAAAATCCATGTCATATCAAGGAAAAAAAAATACTAACTAGGAGAATCATATAAGAGATTGAAAGGCGGGATAATAATCCACACTTGACAGAGGAAAACACATAACGTACTATATAAAATACGATGTAAGAAATGTAAAACAACATATATTTAAAAGGATGCATACCAGTCCATCAGGTAGGGATCCGGGTTTTGTTGATCGGTGTATAATCTCAAGCAATTGGAATGTTTTTGAACCTGGTGCAGCACACACTGAGAAAAAATATAGCAAAAGGTCAGAAAGCACTAGATTTAGTCTTTGAAACAAAAACAAAATAATGAATGATCGGTCACAAGCAATTGGAGTACCGTTATAGATTTCCTTATAAAAACTAAACTATACAACACAGAACAGAGTGCTCTCAAGAAATAAAGTTCCAAAAGAAATTATGCATCTCCCATCCAAACTACGTTGTTCATTCAGCACTTTACAATGCAAAGAAGAAGCTTACAAACTCGCTATAGAACAGAACCAATTACATTTTCACTTGACGCTCATTAATTCCAAGTCTCATCATTTGGTCAACAAGGTTTTTAAATTTGCACACTATTAGAAAGGGGTAAAAAGATATATACAATATAAGTTGCTTACTATCAAGTACAAAATGATCTGGACGTACATCAAGGAATAGAGGAGGTACCTGTATCATAAAAAGAAAATAAATAAATTTTAAAAAACTAACTGGATACTTGAGCATTAAGATACGTGAACTAAATGCGCTGAAACACTATAAAATATACATAAATATTACAGCACAATATCAGTTTGTAAACCAAAACAGACTACAAATAACATTGGCCCACCATGCTGACAGCCTCCTGTCTTGTGATGTTTCCAATCTCATTTTCAAGCTTTAAGAACTCATGAAACCTGAGAAATTCATACCATCAGAACCAGGAATTGACAGATAAAAATATTAGCATGGAGAACTTGAGTGATTTGATAGCATCATGGAGAACTTGGTCAAATTATATACACTAGCAATTGGAGGAGGATCAACTTGGAAACCAGAAAAACCGTTATGGTAGATACATATTAGTAGTACTCATATAGGAACTCCTTTGGGAATACAAGAGCCAATCTCATCCATTAATCTCAAAACTGAAAGAACTACAGGAGATGTGGCATAAAAAAAACCCATCATACTACCAGCCCATTGAAAAATAGGCTTTTACCACTATTATCTGTAACAAGCACCATCAAGAAACAGGTCTTAGGTTACCTTGGCTCCAGGCACATATCTACCACTTATACTACAAAGTATTCTCAAACAATGCATCATTTACCTCTCAAGTGTTTGGTTCTTCCTCAGCTGCATGCGAGAAAAATTGGAATGCCAAGCAAGATTCTCAGGGTACCAAGGCAATGGCCTAATAGGCACCAGTTCACCCCCCTCACTTACCTGAACAGTATGGTTCAAATAATAAACAAGAAGCAACCATAAATGCATTACAATAAAAACCAAACGACGCAACACAATCTGTTGCCGCATTATAGTAACAAAATAGCCTACAAGAGACCAACCTCAGCTTGAAGAGATATCATAAAGTCATTCTCCAACTGGGTTCGGATGTCCGAACAAAATTGGCTACTGAAACATTAAAGACAAAAACAAAACCTATTATTCAGTCAATGGCTACATCTACAGAAACTCAATTCAGAAATGTGATTCACATAGAATTAAGCCGCGCATAAAATACGAAAATGCTAACAAAAACAACATCGCAAAGAAGTTATTTAAATTACCTTGAATTGATTCTAAAAGCAGCAGGCAACGGCTTTCGAAGAACTTCAATGAATCCATCCCATTCTTCTGGGGTCACTATCCCTTGCTCCTACCCACCATCACACACATGCCAAAAAATTAGCAAAGAGCATAATTTTTTTTAGAAAGAAAATAAATACTGTATCCAATATATGTACGTATATAAGAAAATGATATCACCTTATAATATTCATCGAATGCGGGATTCTGAGTGGCAAAGGGCTGCCAGCCACGATTTTCACCATTGTTTTCAGGGTTGTTCTCAGAGGAAGGGTCAGACTTGGGACGCTTCCAAACGTTCTCTCTGTTTTGACGGAAGTGGCGTCTCTGAGTGCGAGAACCTCCTCTGCCTCTGCCGCCGCCGCCTCCCATTTGTGTACGTAGCTCAACTGTTTGATGCTTGGTCTCAGAGAACAAACAAGAGAAAAGAGCTCCGCTGTTCAGTTCGCTAAGCAGTGGGTTTTAGGTGACCGTAATCGGGTCCTTGGGCTGCAGGTTACCTTGGTTTGGGCTTGTGAGTTGGGCTTTTTGAGCAGTTGTGTATTTAATTGAGATTTTTTAAGAGTTTAAAAGTCTATTATGTTGTGTGTGTGTGTGTATAATATATATACAAAATTAGTGAAACACCCAATTCTAGACATGAAACTATAATAAAACCCTAGACTATTTAAAACATATAAACACACCCAAAATAAACCCAAAAACCAACAGCTGTCAATTTTGGATTTATTTTCTATGTTAGATTACGGTTTTGACCTTTTGGTCTGAATTCTTTGAAACAGGCCCAAAATTCGCCAGCTAGGATAGGAATATTTGAAAATTTACGTTGGTGACCTCATAACAGAAACCTGTTTGGCAGCCTCAGCAGATCGAATATTCCAAACGAGCTTCGTTCAGTTCTTCGAACGAAGCGAGCTTCGTTCACCTCTTCGAACGAAGCTCAGTATGATGTGGTTTCAGATCTTCTTTTTGGATTCTTCTGAGCTCAGTATGGTGTAGATTGGAGTTCTATTGCTTCAATTTTTTTGTTCTTTGCTGTTTGATTTGGTAATTTTTGGATTGATATTGCGCTGCAAGAGACTCGATTGGAGCTTGGTGCGATCTGTGATCTTCGATTTTGAGGTATTTCGATTTTTTCTTGTGAATTCATATTCGTTTTTTGAGGATTCGATTATATTGTAGTCTGATTTTTGGTGATTTCATGTTCGATTAATTAAGTTGCTGATTAGGTTTCGTTTCTTTTTGTTTATAATTTGGATTGATTTCAGATTCGTTTTGATTGTGGATTTGCTCTTGTGTTTTGATTTGAGGTGTGGTGAAACTTTTGTGATATTCGATTTGGTTTTCATATTAATTGAGGTTTTTTCAGTTGAATCTGAGTATATTCGTGTTTTTTCTGTTTATGCACTATTGGTTTTTGAGTCGACTATAATTCACTGTTAATACCCGGCATCCACTGTTATTGCTAGTAGTCATTTTTGTTTTGTTTGTTGTTTTTTTGTATAGATATGGATGATTCGAGAGTGGCAAAGTGCACCTATGGTGGTGGAACTTTAATGCTTATTTTGTCTTCAACTACTACTTTTGATTGGCTGTCCAACGAGTTGTGTAGTAGGTTCAAGCTGAAGTTAGGTCATTTTGAGTTGAGGTACTCTTATACGGATTGCTCCAATTGTTTATTGGAATTGGATGATGATTTGAAAATCATGTTTATGGTATGTGGACTGACGAAGGATCAATTAATTCACATTGCTGTTAGGGATAAGGCTGTAGTGAATTATGTTCAAACTGTTAATACGAACATAATTGCTTCTCCTTTTTTGTTGGAGGTTGTTCCTAACAATTACAGTTTTGCAGAAGATGAGGATACATGTAAATATTCAATTCAAACTGGTAGTATTGTTGATTCAAATGCAGCTTCTTCTTCTTCTTTGAGTATGGATTTTGATGGTATTAGCAGTGAGTATGGAAATGAATATTTAGGCAAATATGGTAGTTGTGGAGGTCGTAAGTATTTGTCTACTGATTGGGAGGGTTATATTACTCATGAGGGTCAGAAGTTTGAGGGTGGAGTTTGTGAATTCCGTGATAAGTTGGCTAAGTACTCGATTGAGAATGGTTTTAAGATGAAATATTTGAAAAATGAGCCTCGTCGTGTTACTGCTGTGTGTGCTAAGAAGGAATCAAATGGCTGTGAGTGGCATGTGCATGCTGTTAAGTCGAATGTAAATGGATTTTTTTATATTAAGAACTTAAATAATGCACACAGTTGCAGTGGTTTGATCCGTGAGAAGAGAAATAAGGCAATGGGGTCTCGTTTGGTGTCTTCAATTGTCAAAGATAAGGTTCGTAGCAATCCTTTGGTAAGGCCTATTGAGCTGATTACTGATTTGAAGGAGAATTATGGATTGGATATCCCTTATCATGTTGCGTGGTATGGGAAGGAGTCGGCTACTAAGGATTTGCATGGTGATGAGGAGTTGTCTTATGCTCACCTGCCTTGGTATGTGAATGTTTTGAAGGCCAGCAATGTCGGATCTCATTGTGTGCTTGACTGTGGCGAGGATGGTTCTCGTTTCCAGCGGATCTTTATATGTTTTAAGGCCTCCATTGATGGTTTTCGGTGGTGTAGGCCTATGCTGTTCATTGATGGTACTTTCGTCACAAACAAGTACAAGGGTACTCTTCTAGGAGCTACTGCAAAGAATGGAAATAAAGGTATGTAATGTAAATGCTGTAGTTGTTGACTTCCATTGAGTGGTATGAACAGTGTAGTTATGCAAATGTAAATGCTGTAGTTGTTGACTTCCATTGAGTGGTATGAACAGTTTCTATACTGTTCATACCCTGCATCTGAGTATTTTTATGCATTGTAGTTTTACTCTGCTTTATGTGGTAACACTGTTACAGTTCAAACTAACTAATATAGTTCTCTGTTTCTTGTAGAAGTATTCCCTTTTGCCTTTGCGATTGTATCTGGTGAAACTGTGGATAATTGGAGGTGGTTTCTGCAAAGGATATCTGAAGTCTTGGTTGATGAAGGTAGGCAACTTACATTCATTTCTGATAGGCATGGTGCTATTATCGATGCTGTTAGGACTGTTTTTCCTGCTTCTCCCCATGGTTTTTGTCTATATCATTTGAAAGAGAACTTGAAAAAGAAGTATCCGCATGCTGTTGGTTCCTTTTTCAAGGATCATATTTTATGGCTTTTTTGTAAGTTGTTGTATGCACCGACTGTTGAGGAATATCAAGATACGTTGAAAAAATTAAGAGATGATGGCGGTTCAAAAATAATTGATAAGTTTTTGGCTGATCTCCCTGTCCAAAATTTTGCTAATGCATTTTTTCCGGGAAAGAGGTATGGGGAGGTTAGTAATGCCTTGTCCGAGTCGTTTAATTCATGGATTAAGGATGTGCGTAGGCTTCCAATTTATGAGATGATTGACACTGTTAGGATCAAAATGATGGAGATGATTTCTAGGAGGAAGCTTGCATCCGAGAAATGGAGTAGTGTTTTGTGTCCTGTTATTGAGGATGAGTTGAAGAATTTAGCTGCAAAGGGTCGTCATTGGAGGATATGTCGCGCGAGTGAATCTGTTTTTGAAGTTCATGCTGATTTGAGTGTTATGGTCAATTTGGACGAGAGGTTTTGCTCCTGTTATCAGTGGCAATTGCTTGGGTTTCCGTGTCAGCATGCGATTCAAGTTATCCAACATTCCGGGTTATGTTTGTACAACTTTGTGGATGAGTATTACAAGGCAGACTTTTATAAGGCTACTTATGCAACCCTATATTTCCCATACCTGATATTGAGAAGCCTCCTCCTGCAGATGTTTTTCTTCTACCTCCTCATACAAGAAAGCCTCCGGGACGACCTCCGACAAAGCGCTTCAAGTCAAGCAGTGAAACTAAAAGGCAGGTGAAGTGCAAGAGATGCGGTTCTTGTGATCGTCATAATAGGAGGACTTGCAAGGTTCCTATTTGATGTAAAGGTTCTGAGTATAAAGACTTGAATGAGAGTAGTTAGTTTTTAACTAGTTAAAGTGCTATGTGATTGATTAATGACAATCATAGTTGAAAGGAATAGAAATTGATATGCAAGTTGTTAATACGGTGAAATAGCAGTCACTGCATATGAATACACTTTGAATTTTTGGTATTAATACATAATATTTACCATTTTTGGTATTTTGCAAATTTCGGTTTTGAAGTTTGATATGAATTAAGCATTACTGCTGTTTGAATAATCTATAAATGAACGAACACTATTTAATGCTCACTGTTCATGCCATTGTTGAAATTGAAAGATAGTTCTATGACATGGTATTAACAATTTATTTCTATCAAATAGCATTAACATTGAATTGAGAGTGCGTTGTTATTTGTTGTAGTTCACCTTTTTAGTTGTTTTAGTGCTATGGAGACCATTATTTCGGGTTACATACACTGTTAATTCACGTAAATAAACTGGTTTTTGAATAAGTACATAACTTGAATTTGAAAATCACTTTACTTCAATGTTCTAAACCTACACAAGTCCTAAGAAACTACAATATAAGCAAGAATTTTGGCAAAATATTTGATTACAACTTCATTATTTTGCATTTCTCTCTTCTCTTTCTTTGATGGAAATCCAACTTCTTTCATTGCTCATAATTTTCATGAGGACTTCTTTTCTCATTTGCCAGACCTTTTCTTTGTTGAAATCTGATTCTATTTGTTGGTCTTTGGAAAGCTGCTTCATGAAGTGCATGACAAAGACGCCACAATCATTGCTGCATAATAGAGATACGCATGCAGGAGTTATTTCAGTATTTTTTTAGTTGAATAGGATGAAAGTTTCACTGTTATTGCGTAACTTACGAATTGTTTGCTTGTTGGGGACATTCTCTGTTCTCAGTCAGCTTGAAGTTAGTAGTATCATGACAAATCAGATACTTCATTGTCTGAGCATATTCTGGTGTAAGTTCGTTGCTGGCAAGTATTTTTGTTATCATTCTAGCTGAAGCTTCATTAAGCCCTCTCGGCTTCTTGGCATCAAAATCAGGAATTTGGACGAGTTTTGTTTTCAGTGATACTGCAGCACATTCCTTAAGAAGACAGAGGAATATATTTGCTGTCTCAACCTGCATCATAGTCAAGTATGTGCTTAGTTTCCTTTAAATTTAGTGTCCTATGTATTAACAGTGTTAATCACCAGTCTTACTTACCAAAACAATTGCCTTCTTGTGATAATATTGGAGAGTTTGTTCTGATGTCCCCCTGAATGAGTTGAAGTGTGTCCATTTTGCTGCACCGGTGTCAAAGACAAGCAGCGTATGGTGGTTCTCATCTGTAATTGGTATGAACACTCTATCAACTCTTCCAATATTTTCTAGGAGTGGCATATAGAAAGCATGATATGTCAGCTTGTGTGAGGCACCTCGCAAAAACATCTGCAAAAGTCATGTGTTGGTGATTAGTGAGCATGTTGATGATATAAAATTGATGTATTAGATGTGATCTTACATAGTTATTGGCGGACAAATATGCATTTTTCTGTTTCTGAGGGTTCTGCTTCGCATCATCATTAAGTGCCTCTCCATAAGCATCGATGATTAGTGCAGAAATTGGAGCATCTCCCATCAGCTTTTCAATGTTATGTTTGTACAATATTGTCCTATTTTGTAGGTAAAAAGCGTCCCTGCGACAAGAATGTTGTTTAAAAATGACTTCGATTCGCAGAATATAACTTCGATTCGCCGGCTTTCTCGTTATGGAGTTTGTCATTGATTGGTGGTTATGGAGGTTGTCTCCTGCCTGGTGGTTATGGAGGTTTTCGCCTGCTTTTGGAGTGGGTCGCGTCGCAAAGATCGGAGTGAGAGGGTGAGTGGGTTTTTCGCTTTTTGGGTGCGTGCGTGTACTCTGCGTTGAGATATTTTCTTTTTTTTCAATGGGCTTAGTGAAATTGGGCTTTATTGGCTTGTTGAGTTTTCTGGGCTCTTTTTTTGGTTTGTTTGGGCTTTTTTTTGTCAAATTAGACTGGGCCTTTTTTCTGTATTTTTCTATGGCTTGGTTGATTTGTTTTGGGCTTTACTTCGTTTCTGACCTTGATTTTCTCAACTTGGGCTGGGCTTTTTGAAAGTCACTGTTAATACGCATTTTGAACACTGTTAATTCGCAGTTTGAAATATAGAAGCAGCTATAGAGTAACAATTTTTTACATTTGAATCTCACTACACAGTAACTATTTGACATTTGAAAGTTAGGAAGCATCAAAAGATTTTGGTTAGAAGCTACATATTAACAATTTGACATTTGGAAGTTAGAAGCCGAACATTTACTATTTTATAGTTCTAAAATTTGTGAAATCCATGCTTTCATCCTTCATTCTCTTTTGTGAAATACCAACTTTTTTCACTTTCCATTGTCTTCAATAAAACTTCTTTTCTCATTTCCCACACATGCTCTGTACTCAAGCTTTCTTCAATTTGTTTTCCTTGTGACAACTTCTGCATGTAGTACAAATACTCCACAATCGTTTCTGCAAATTCACACACACACACACATATATATATGCAACATTTAGTGAATCATAGTTTAATTTGAATTGGGGGAAGAAAAGTGTTATTGTGAAACTTACGACTTTTCAGGTTGTTGGGCGCATTCCCTGTCCTCCTTAAAGTTGAATTTGGTGGGATCATGTTTCATCAGATATTGTATTGTTTGAGCAATTGCTGGTGTAACTTTCAGGTTTCGAAGAAGTTTTGCAATCTCGTCGGTCAATTCTTCATTGTAGACGGGCTTCTTGAACTCAAGAAGTGGGAAGCTGTTTTTTTCTAAAATTGTTGGAGCACATTCCTTGACGCTATTGAGGAAGACATTTGTTGCGTCTGCCTGCATTGTAGGCAAGTATGTTGTTAGCTTCACTGATTAACTGTTTTGTTCATGCCTTGTATTAACAGTTCATAGTAGGAGTCTGTCTTACCAAAATTATTGCTTTTTTGTTGTAGTATTCAACGGTTTGCTCAGTTTCCCCCCTCAATGAGTTGTAGTGCGTCCATTGCAATGAATTGGTGTCGAAGACAAGCAGGGTGTGGTGTCCGCCATCCGTTATTGGTATGAACACCTTTGAAGTTTTCCCTATGCATTCAAGGAGTTTGACAAAATATTCATCGAATGTTCTTGGGTGCATTTTATCTGTGAGATACCTCTGCAAAATTAATAGTTTCGGCATTAGAGAGAATGTGAAAAGTATAGGAAGATGAATAATTTGTGATTTTTACTAGAAGTAATGGGATAGCTATGATCTTACGTATGCGTAGCACGTGATGTATGCATTCTGTTGTCTTTTAGGGTCCTTCTTTTCATCATGATGAAGTATCTCGGCATACGCATCTATGATTTGTCCATAAATTTCAGTATCTCCTAATAAGCTTTGTATGTCATCTTTGAACAAAATGCTTGTCCCTTGCCAAAAAGCAGTGCTGTAACAGTATTTGTAGTCAGAAAAAATGGCAATAAAATTGAAAGAACTGTTCAATAAAGTTCCAGTATAGGGTAATAATACTGCTTGTTTCCTAAAAAACCTTTTTCTAACGCATGTCTACCATTGTAAAGTTCCAGTATAGGGTAATAACACTGCTTGTATCCTATGAAATCCTACATCTAATGCATGTCTATCACTGCAAAGTTCCAATATAGGGTAATAACACTGCTAGATTCCTCTGAAATCCTATAACTAATGCATGTCTACCCCCTGTAAAGTTCTAGTATAGGGTAATAACACAATGAAATCCTATTTTCTAATGCATGTTCAATAATAGCATCTTGCATTGAAAATGAATGAAACACATTGCCTTACCCATCAACTGAATTTTTCCAGTAATTTCTCAGCTTTTCTTGTGAGAGTTCATCCAGCATGTTGTAGACCTGATATGTATTCCATTGCAGGAATGAACCTTTGGCCCTCTTCTTTGATTTGGCTGGTTTTTTTTGTGCCTTTCTCTTTTGTGCTCTCGTCTCTGCTTTAGGGAATGAGGAATCTGGTTTTCTTGATTTTATCTTTTCTGCTTCACCTTCTTTCTTTTCTTCTTTATCCTCTTCACTCTGCAGTTCTTGCGCCAATTTTTGATCTCTCAACGAGACAATAACAGCTTCCTTTTCATTAATAATGTCCAAGTAGGAAATCTTCTCTGCAAGAAGTTGATCATTTTCTAGCTGCAGCTTTGTCATGTAGGATTTTTCCTGATGAACATCTAATTGTATGACTTTCTTGTGATGTGCTGCTTCCTTAACCATCTTCTGCAGTTGCTGCTGATGCTTCAATAATTCTTCTTTTTCATTGTACAGCATCTGAATCAATTTATTCTTTTTAATGCAAGATGCTATTGCATCACGGATCTTTTGATGCTCTCCTTTCTTCGTCCAATATTCAGCAGCATTATTGATCGCCATCATATACTCTTTTGTAAGCTGTATTTCATCCTCCTTGTATTCTGGTACTGATCTAACAATTTCCTCAAACAACGTTGAATTCCGGTATTCTGGGATTTCATTTTGGAGGTCTTCTTGTACCTGGTGGTGTTGCTGGACTTGATGTTCAGCAGCATCATCATGGTCTCCATTCACTTCAGCATCCTCCTCCTCTTCATTTTCTTCTTCAGCAGCATCACCATGCTCTTCATTCACCTCTTCAGCAGCATCATCCTTGTCTTCACTCACTTCTTCAGCAGCATCATCATCATGCTCTTCATTCACTTCTTCAGCACCATCATCCTCCTCTTCATTCTCTTCTTCAGAATCATCATCATTCTCTTCATTCTCTTCTTCAGAATCATCATCTGGCTCTTGAGCTTTAGTGCTTTTTATCTGTTTGTTGAGTAGAGTTAGTATTAAGAGTGCACTTCTATGACATGGTATTAAGAGTGTAATTCTATGACATGGTTTTAATAGTGTACTTCTATGAAATGGTATTCATAGTTTACCTCTGTGACATGGTATTCATAGTTTACTTCTATGACATGGTATTAACAAGTATGTACATGACATGGTATTAACAATGTTGTCATATCAGCTGCAGATTATTTGAAAGGAAAGAGTACCTTTATCTGGTTGTTCTTTAGATGATGAAGCTTCGCGCTGAGTTCTTGAAGACTCCATTTGACAGCAGCTGGTGTCATTTGTTCTCTTCCAGGAATTGGAGTGAGCAGGTTAGATCTTTGACACAGCCAATACTGCACAATATTTTTTTGAAATATCACGTGTCAATTCATATCATTAGAATAATGCTACGAATTTGCAGTTTGGAGATTTGTGTTCTTACCAGTATTAGGATTAGGCAGCCACTCACGCTTGGCTGCTTTTTTTTGTCCTTCTTGTTCTTCTTTGCTTGTTCTAATCCAAAATACATGTAGTCCAAAACTCCTCGAGCCCAATTATATTTCCCCATCTCTTCTAAGGTGTCTATTGTGGTTGTATATGTCCAAGCAAGTGTACAACCAGAGTTGCAGAATAGATTGGTCATGAAGAGTTGTAGGATTATCAATCTTGTTACATCCATAGCACCCTCTTCTGTTTCATCTTCAAGTGCTAAATTCAAGCACTTATCAATTGAAGTCTTTGTTATCTTCTTATACCGCGCGAAGTATTTCTCTACAAACTGCAATTTTGGCCTTGTTGAGGTTGTTGTGCTTGGTAACTTCTTGCCACTGTTTGGCAAGCCAAAAATTTCAGCCACATCATTGCTTTTCATCTCGCTGTCAACATCATTAAACTTGAACTTCTTTGTCTTTGTGTCATAAACTTGTATGAGTCTCACAATGTCGTAGTTAGACTTCATGCACTCTACCTTTGTTAACCTTCTCTGGATATATGCTTCTATTAATGCCCAAAAAGGTGTCTTTGATAGCAGTGTTAAGACATCGTGCCGACGTTCAAGTCTCTGTCTGATGTTGTCAATTGTTGTTGCAAAAGAGAGCATGTTGCTCTTGATCTGCACATAATTTGGGTCCTCCCATCTGCTAGGCTTCTTGTTTGTTGTTGTTTTGGATGATGACTGTTGGCCTTTTGTTTTGGAGTTTCTTCTGGCTCTTTCTTTCTTCATCTTTTAATTGGTATACCTGCATTAGAAATAGGAACACGACAGTAAAGTATCGGTGTTATTACCATATACTGGAACTTGACAGAGGTAGACATGCCTTAGAAATAGTATTTCATAGGGAACAATCAGTGTTATTACCATATACTGGAACTTGACAGAGGTAGACATGCCTTAGAGATAGTATTTCATAGGGAACAATCAGTGTTATTACCATATACTGGAACTTGACAGTGGTAGACATGCCTTAGAAATAGTATTTCATAGGGAACAATCAGTGTTATTACCATATACTGGAACTTTATCTATACTGGAACTTGACAGTGGTAGACATGCCTTAGAAATAGTATTTCATAGGGAACAATCAGTGTTATTACCATATACTGGAACTTTATAGCCAATAATCAGCATGCTAGCCGCTAAATTAGTGACTAAAGTAATGGTCCTATGCAGTCAGTCCTATAGTGAAATCCAATATAGTTTCAAGATTTTGTCTTTCATTCGAATCTAAAATACTGTTATTACCCTAGACTGGATCTTTATAGCAAATAATCAATATTACAGTAAAGGTTTGGTTTGTAAATGTCTTACCTTTGAAGCGTTTTCTTGTTGAAATGGTTCTCTGAAATTTTGTCTTGGTCAGTGTCTGGAGTTTGTTTTTGAAACGAGATCAATCTTGGTGGTGGTTATGGAGTCTCGGTTTCGACGACGATGAAGACGAATTGATGAAGACGATTTGACTTGATGAAGACGATGAGTGAAGTGAAGAGACGTTTTGCAGAGAACGTTTAATGAAAGTGCGCGTGCTGGAAGTTACGGTTGGTTTACTTTTTTTAAAGTTACGGTTTACTTTTTTTTTTGGACGAAAGTTACGGTTTGGGCTTGTTTATAAGTTTGGGCTGGGTTTGTTTTGGGTGTCTTTTGAGTTTGTTTGGTGTTGGGCTTGATAGTGGCAGACCTGTAATTTATAGGAACTTGAACACTAATTTGTTATATAATAAATGGATTTTGGGTGTGTTTATAAAGTGTATTCTATGTGGGGTTTTTTTATAAATTCAGGTCCCATTTTGGGTATATTACTAAAGCTCCCTAATATATATATATATATATATATATATATATATAAAGAGTTTAAAAGTTTACGGATATTCAATTATGATCGTGGGTGGGAAGAGCTTATAAAAATACATGTGTATTCAATCTGGACTTTGGTGGGTTTTTTAAAAGTCCATAAAATTTCAATTATATTCAATCATAAATTTTTTAAAGTACAAAAATTCATATGCATTTGAAAAGTTCATGATTTTGAAGGAATTTATGGAGTGGTGGATTTTAAGGGTATACTTTAGCCCACAACAAATCCAGCCTTCCCTCGCAGATTGGTGGATTTCAGAAAACTCACCTATGTTCCTCTTCTTAGGGGTGAGTATGGTTCAGTTTGGTTTGCTTCACCTTGGAACCGAAAATCGGCTTTGGGTACTACTGCGGGAGCCAAAGCCCAAACAAAGAGCAACAACAACGACATATTCTAGCAATCAAATCCTCATATCATATGAAATGACCCAGCCCAACATGCACCCATTTGGTAAAGATATTTCTCTCCCATGCAATCAGAGCAATACAACCAGACACAGGATAAAGTATCAAAACCGCAAAACAACGAAGGATCTATGACCACACAAAGAAAGGTCAAAACAAAACGACTCCAGAAAGAAAAAGGAAAAAAAAAGAGCCCCTTAGGACGAGAAACACTTACATGAAACAGAAATGGTACTATTTTACTATTTCTCGCCAGTGTATGTCATGCAAATTTTTCTGCCTTAGGACCCATGAATCATCACTTGAGGTCCCAGCTGTCCATCCTGCAGAAGTACTTTGACAGCCTACCCAACCCCATTTGATTCTTGGATATGATTATCCACTACAATGAAGCATTCAATTCAAAGTGCAGAAAATAAAGACCTACTTGCTCATTCTGCATCAATCGTTTGCCATATTTGCTAAAAGCTGGTTCTGTTTTCTTGTTCTAAAAGCTGGTTTTTCTTTGAGTCAAGATGAAGAAAAAAAAAAGGGTTGATAGATACAGACAAAACCCAAAATTTGCATTATGAATTTGGATACAGAAATGAAAGCATCGTGGGTGTCGTAATTGTTGACGCGCTTACCCACAAAACAACCTATGGACTCTTGACTTGAGGCGGGTCTATCAGCCAATTGGCTTATGCTGCCTCCTCTGCTCACAACATAATAACCCTTTAATTTTTTGACACCAGGAAGAGAGAGAAACAAAGAATCCAGACACTCTTTGTTTTTTTTAAAGGGAATTCATCAAAATCATACATGCATATTGCCAAAAGAGAAAAGGTTAAGAGCCATCCCACACCCATAGTTTTTTGGACCAATTCATACACACACACACCTCTGCCTAACTGCCTCAAAATTTCAATGTCTCCTCTGTTTCCACTCATCCTCCTTCAAATAACCGTGGCCGCCGCGCAACTCCGGCCCGGCCATTACTCGAAAACGTGCCCGGGAGCCGAATTCGTGGTCCGGGATGTCATGGAGAAGGCTCTGATTAGAGAGCCCCGGAGCCTTGCCTCTGTCATGCGCTTCCAATTCCATGACTGCTTTGTTAATGTAAGTAAACACTATCTTATCCTATCCAAGTAAAATTTCATATTTCCCAGTACTTCTTTTGTTTTTTTATTTATAAATATTTTGCAGAGGCCTTTGTGTTAATGATTTCTGGTTTGTACCTTTGTGTTAATGATTTAACTTGTATACTTATAGGGTTGTGATGCTTCTATGTTACTTGATGACACAACAACCATGCTCGGAGAAAAACTTTCCCTTTCAAATATAAATTCACTGAGATCTTATGAAGTTGTTGACGAAGCCAAGGAAGCTTTGGAGAAGGTCTGCCCTGGAGTTGTTTCATGCGCAGATATCATAATCATGGCCTCAAGAGATGCTGTTGCCCTGGTATTAAACTCTCTTTATCTATACAATATATCACCTTTCAAAACAGAGTGGTAGGACTGGTAGTTTTTAAGTGCTCACACACAATTACTGAAACCAGTTGATTGACCCAAGTTCATCAAAATGGGATTGCCTGTAGAGAGAGAGAGAGAGAGGAGAGAGAGAGAGAGAGAGAGAGAGAGAGAGAGAGAGAGAATAACAATCTGTCATTAAAGGATGAAAAGGGTAAAACTGTGGAAAGATAATTGATTGGTTATAAACTCTTTTTTATTTTCCAAAATCAAATTCCAACATCACTTGGTCTTGGTTAGAAAGAACAGTTCAGCTTAGGGGTGAAGTAGGCCAAACTTGAAGAATTGTATGTCAACTGTAGATTTTGTATCATGCCATGACATTTGTACTTTCTGTTGTAGAAAATTAATGTTACTAAAGAAAAATTGTGAAAGGAGTATAATTATTTTCTTAATCAGACTGGAGGACCCAATTGGGAAGTGAAGCTAGGAAGATTGGATAGCTTAACAGCTAGCCAAGAAGCCTCGGACAACATTATGCCAAGTCCAAGAGCCAATGCAAGCCTCCTCATTGACCTGTTTGGAAAATTTAATCTATCTGTCAAGGACCTCGTTGCCCTTTCTGGGTCACACTCCATTGGCCAGGGTCGGTGCTTTTCCATCATGTTTCGGCTGTACAACCAATCCGGCACAGGCAGGCCAGACCCGGCCTTTGAACCAAAGTTTAGAGAAAAGCTAAACAAGCTTTGCCCGCTAAACGTGGACCAGAATGTGACCGGAGACCTTGATGCTACACCTTTTGTATTTGATAACCAGTACTTCAAGGACTTGGTTGCAGGGAGAGGGTTTCTGAATTCAGATCAAACACTTTTCACATTTCCACGAACAAGGAAATTTGTGAAGCAGTTTAGCATTAACCAAAGCGAATTTTTCGAGGCCTTTGTTGAAGGGATGATAAAGATGGGTGACTTGCAGTTGGAGCAGCCTGGGGAGATAAGAAGAAATTGTAGGGTGGCCAACAGTCGTTCTGTCAACACATTCTGAGAGTCTTGAAGGGATGGGACTTGAACAGAGATTAGAAAGAATACACTTTGTCCCCTAGCATCACTGTAATTGAGCCTGATTGTTGCCTTCATCATAATGTGGACGGTTTAATTTGGTTGGAATATATGAAAACAGTATGTATATAGTCAACAGAACTTTTTATTCCCAATAGTAAACAGAACTTTGTTCCATTTTTTTAGTTCCAAAACCACCTCCTCGGAGCCATGAACTCTCACAAAGACAGCTTACTAGTGATCTCTTCATATGTAATGTTGGGAGAATAATTAAAAAGAGAAACAAGCTAATTGCATGTGCAAATTTTTTTGGTTCCATTCATTTTACACAAAAGAAATCACAATTGTGATGGTATGAGCAAAATCAGGAATCAAGATACTAGTTATACAAGTATCTGAATCCATTAAGATGTGCTTTGAAAAGCAAAGCAACTTTTGTGTACTTATTCCGTAAGCCGATCGGTTGCCCTTAGTACTGAGCTTCATGATTTGTGGGTACCAAGTTGGCTATGCACATTCTTTTTGTTGATCTGTGTGTAAAATCTCAAGCAATTGGAGTGCTCTATGAACCTGATGCAGCACACACTAAGCAGAAATGCAACATACAGTCAGAAAGCACTACATTCAATTCAACCCAAAGAAAATCAACTAAAGATATAAGAGATGGATAAGCTTCCTTATTATTAAATAAAGAAAACAAGAACACGTCATAGAACAATCAAAGAGATCTCAATAAAGAAAGTTCAACAAGAAACTATGCACACTTCGAATCCAATTCCCATCATTTGGATTGGTAAGAAAGTATTTTTTTTAACTATACCAAATTCACCCAATGTGCATAATCATGAAACGGGATATAGCTAATGATTAAGCCATCTTGGATATATATTTCATTACATCCAATTAACATTATGGTCACATCTTCTCTCGTTCCGTCGAGATTCTCTCAAACATTATGGTCACACTATTAAATATATTTTTTTTAATTAAAGAAAGATAAGGGTGTCTTTCTATCCATCTATAGTAAGATAACAAATAATAGAAAAAGGAAGTATTGGTTTGTAAATCTTGTACTTTTGGCTAAATGATGTTTGAGTTGAATACAATAGTCTTTTAAAAGAAGAATCTGCACTCAAAGGAAAGTAAACCGAAAGTTTTTGAAGTCAGATGTGCACAGATGTTGAATGTGTCCCCAAACCCACCATTGGTGATATTGGGTTGGGGAAGCTTATTACTGTTTTGAATTGGAAAGTCAAGAAGCAGAGACTTTCGAATTTGGCGATGGAGTAAGTTGGGTCCGCGAGCATATCGGTCTTGAATGGACCACTCAAGCGATCATGTGTGTGCCCCATTTGTCCAAAGACAAAAATTTACTTTCAACTTTAGTAACCCTTCTTCTTTTCTTTATTATGTGTGCCCTATTCTTTTTGTAGCTTTTAAGTTTATTGCTTGAGTTGTTTTTCATTGGACTTTGAAAGAACACTTTTCGCCTTCTTACTCAAGTATTTTTCTTAGTATGGTTGCCGTAATATTTAAGAGCTAAACCCTAAGCAAAGCAAGTGTAGACGGCAAATGTTTGTTAACGAGACTTTAACAATTTAATTTTAAACAAATATGACAGGTCGAATAACGTATAGAAGTGCTTTCGAGTGAATGATGGGGTGAACTAGCTATCAGTCTATAATGACTCTTACTAGTTAAAGTTGGAAGATATCTCAAGCCTCATTCATGAAAGAGTAAATGACGGACAATAAGATAAGTTGAAAATTGTGAAAATGACACCTAAATTTCCATATGATGAATGAATCTATGAGTGTTCGCTATCAAGTTGAAGAAAGTTTGCAGTAAGCACTTAAGAAGCTTTTTCAATTCAACTGTACCCATTTCTCCTTTTCAGTAACCTTTTTCCTTTTACTAAATGCCATGTGCCCACCCCACTCTTTCTGCTCTTCGGACAAAGAGGAGCTCAATTCTCAAATGTACCCTCACTAGAGAGATGGTGCAGGGTGGGGTCGCCATTGGAGAGAGAGAGAGAGAGAGGATCTTTTGACGGTTGGGAGGGAATGAGGTGGCTGGGTAGCGGTTGAGGATGTGAGGAGGAAGCATTTTTGCACACCATATTAACCCAATATGATTACTCTTCTCAATAGTTGACGCATGTCTTAAGTTAAAAGTGCGGTTAAGTGGTGTGCCACGCATCAAAAAGATAGAAGAAAAAAAAAAACAGGGTGGACACAAGGCATTTGATAATAGGAAAATTGAACTCCCTGCGAATCACGGCCTTTGAAAATTGCAATATTAGTACTTCTCAGTCTTGTCAGCCTTATGAATGTGATTGGAGGGAGACCCCTATTTCTCTGGTATTATGCCTTTGCAACTATGACACTAGTTGGTTCATTGAATATGAAATGCAGGATTAGCCGCCGCTAACTAAATTCACATTATTTTCGTATAGAAACAACGGCACCAGGACGGCTTTTCGAGGGCCCTCTATTAACAGTGAGATAAACGTTTTTGGAGTGGCTGACCACAATAAGCATTGCTTATCATTAGAAGCAAAATATAACAGTGGGAACATCAACTCCAAAAAAGAAGGAAGTTTTATTTACACTTCCAAACCACAAACTTTTACACACATATATGAATGTTTAATATGAGCATGTCTTACATGATATACATTCATTGCTTTTTTTTCTTTTTTTTTTTTTGAAAGAGGAATTCATTGATAACAATTAAGAGGATGCATACAACAACATCATCTTGTACAACTAGCTCCCGCTAAAGGGGAACCTCTTCAATCCAAATTGCAATAGAATTACAATTAAGATGAGCTACTTGATTGCACCTCCTCAGACTGAATGAAACAGTAATTAACATCATCAAATTGTTGCAGACTCCTCTTAATATCGTCAATAAGATGCCCATTTGATACCAATGACTCTTCCTCACCATTCTTTAAGTCATTTACCACTACTTGCAAATCAGACTCAACCAGTATGATACAAAAATTCATTGCTTTTCTAGAGTGCAAAAACTAAAATGTCTAGCATGAGTAGGCCAAAGTTTCCTATAATATGTCATACTCTAAGTTATATTTAGTTTCTATAACTTCCCACAATTCATAAAATTCTGGGTAAATGCACAATCTCTAAATGCATAAACTTAAGATCCCCACATCACATGTGTTTTTCTTGAATTTCTACTTTTTTGTTCTCATATTGAACGTATATGTTGATTAATAAACATAAGAGTTAGGTGGCTGGCACTTCGTGCAGTGCAGACTTCAAATGGTGGCTTATCAATATTTGTTTGAACCCATAAATAGTCAAAATAATAATGGCCATCAAAATCAAAACATCTTTTTTTTTCATATATAGAAATTATAGGATTGCATTCTTAATTCAACCAAAAAAATTACTAGCCACAAAGGGCCATTACAATAACGGAGTGGTTTACCATCAAAATTAAGATAATCTGATGCGCTTCCACTAACGATCACGCAAGATTGAAGAAACTCTTGCATAGGCATTCCAACTAAGATTGCAAACTCAAAATAATCAAAAAAGATAAAGCTTTTAAAAACCAAGCCATAACAATACGAATAAAGCTCTCACAAATGAGAGATGAAAAGCTCCCACAAAGGAGAGGTGAAAAGCTCTCACAAAGGATATGTGAAAACTACACAGAAAACCAAAAGAGTCTCTATGACTTATTCTGAACATAAATAAACCGCAAAAAGGATGGTGGTAGAGATTCAACATAGAAATGTAGGTAGAGATCCGACGCCGAGACGGAGCTGCCTGTGATGATTGGAAGAAAATCATAACAAAACGAAGACAAATAGGAAAAACCATTTGTTTATGAAAATGAGGGGAGAAGAGAGGGAGTAAGAGAATAGGGGAAATGGGAAGAAGAACAATAGCTTCCTCCCCCCTCAAAGGTAAAAACGGCTCCATAAGGGTTTTTTAGGAGCAAAATCAAAACATCTCTAATTATACCAAACTCAACCGTTTGAAATTAATTGCATTCCATCTTGCCAAAAATCAGAAAAAGACAGAGGGAAAGAACAACTCTTGATTTTTGTGAGAAGCGCGAAAGAACCATTTCACATCCATTGCTTCTATTAATTTCTATACATGCACATGAGGGCATCCCACGACTTTAAAAACCCCCCATACTACACAACTTGAAGTGCACCAATTCAATTTCATACTCACCTTCTCACTAGCAACTAGTGCCTCAAAAAATTCTCAATGTCTCCTCTTGTTTCACTCTTCCTCCTACACATAGTAACCGCGTCCGCCACCCAACTCCACCCTGGTTATTACTTGAGAACGTGCCCAAAAGCCGAAGCCATAGTCCGAGATGTCATGAAGAAGGCTTTCACCAGAGATCCCCGGAGTCTTGCTTCAATCATGCGCTTCCAATTCCATGATTGCTTTGTTAATGTAAATAAAACTATATATACAAAGTAAAATTTTATATTTCCTTATTATAATCATTATTCTTTAACAATTGATTTGTTAAATGCTTCACATTAGGGTTGTGACGCTTCTTTGTTACTTGATGACACACCGACCATGCTAGGAGAAAAACTCAGCCTCTCAAATATAAATTCACTAAGATCTTATAAAGTTATTGATGAAGCCAAGGCAGCCTTGGAGAAGGCCTGTCCCGGAGTTGTTTCTTGCGCTGATGTCATAATCATGGCTTCTAGAGATGCTGTTGCCCTGGTATATTAAACCCTCTTATCAATATTACAAGGACTTATTTTGAGGCCAACGTTAATATAAACTTGTACGAACATTGTATTGAACCATATTCCACTGGACGAGTACGCACACTCTACTATATACGTACTAGTCCAATACAATGTATAAAGAAAAGTGTTATTTTAGTACTAACTTAATTTTTCCTTGATTAGACTGGAGGACCAGATTGGCAAGTGAAGTTAGGAAGATTGGATAGCTTGACAGCAAGCCAAGA